ACTGATTCTGTCGACTCTTTTCCAAAGCGGGATGGTAACATTGTTGAGCACGAGAATCCGCTACGAGGAGATCGATACCCTTGAAGGCATCGAAGAATCCGATTTGGTCGTGGAGTCGCCTAATATCGGCCTGGATATGGAATTCCTCGGTGAGGAGCCGCAGTTTGATTGGCTCAAACAAAAGCTGACGGATAGCTTGAAAATAAGATGCGAAAACAGGTATTGCGGCGTAGAATCGGATTTCGCATTCTACCGCACGAACGAATCCGTCTCCGACTGGAACGATTTTTACGATAGAGAGATTTACACGATCCTGGAAACTCGCGGGTATCTGACGAGAACTACGTCCATAGTTTCGAGGTTCAACAATCGGGTGTACTACGATCGGAGGACTGGAGATGTGCACGAGTTCCATGATGTGTCCGAACACGTCATGAGCTATCCACTGATGTATTTCATCGAGAGGAGGTCGTTCTTTCGGGAGGTCTTCAACGATGTTCTGACGCGTTTACTGGAGGCTGGCGTGTTTTACAGGAGTACGATTCGGTTACATACCGAACTCAAAGAGAACTTCGCTTTCGCGGAAAAGACGGGCGATACAGGGGAACCGAGGCCGTATTCCATGACCGATTTGAAGATCGCTTTCATTTGCCTCTGCGTAGGGTTGATGTCGAGCCTCTGTGTGTTCATCGCGGAACTATTCGCGCAGCTCTCTGATTGAGGAAGTTGAGCTCCGGTACGTTCTGGGATGAGGCGATTTACCCGGAAGGAATAGTATGATTTTTCATGGGTTTTTTATTTTGGAGGAATTTAAACTGCAAACCTCGAACATTTTCTAAATTTTTGAGCAAGATTTTCATACGAAATCGAGGAATGGGACACTAAACCATGAATAAACTTGCGATTACTTTTTTCCTAAGGCAAATTGGATTACGTCCTTTGAGCATCTCGAAGGCAAACAAGCACCGGATATATGACGCCATCGTTAAAAGTATCGTGCTCTATGGTAATGAAGTGTGGCCTTTGACGAAAAGAACGCAAGAAATGTTGAGGGCAACTGAAATGGATTTTTGGCGGCGATCTGCCGGCATTTCGAGACGGGACCGTGTCCGTAATGAGAGAATTCGCCAGGTGATGAAGGTTGAGAAAGATATCGTGCACGACGTCATGTCCAGGCAGTTATGCTGGTATGGACATGTGCAAAGAATGTCGGAGGAGAGGTTGCCCAAACAAGTTTTGGATTGGGTACCACCTGGGAAGAGGCGACGGGGACGTCCCGTAAAGGGTTGGCGGCAGGGCGTTGCCGAAGAGATGTTGCAGTGTCAGTTGCCCGATAATCTCTGGGAAGACAGGCATATGTGGCGTTTGGGTGTCGTAGAACGCCAGAGTGCGTTGTAAAGCGATTTGATTGAAATTGAAATTGGATTACGTTTTGCAATAAGGAACCACTATCTCTGGCTCTTCCGTAAAAGCCCCTTTCTGCATGGGGAAACTACTGGCACATACCTCGTTTCTTAAATGAGCCAGAAACAGTAGCTCTTCATTGCAGAATGGGGTTTCAGGACATTCCGTCTACGATTTTTTGTCCGCGCACCTGTTTTGTCCAGTAGTTTACGTCCACGCGTAAAATAAGGGTTGTGTGGAAAGAAACTATACAAAAATGAATAAATAAGGGGAAACAACCAAAAAACCACGCAATCATTAGTTTTAACCCGTGCGTACATCGATCTTTTAGAATCAAATACGTCTAATTTTGAGCGTTTGGGCGCGCGTGCACCGCGCTGCAGCACAGTAAATGCACAAAATATAAAAGAAAAAATTAAAGTGCTTTCGGAATCATTAAATTTGACACGGAACCACCTTAATATTTACAAAACACATTTTATATTTTCCTTTAATACATATTTTTTTTCATCAATTTAAATGAGGGAAATCCATGCAGAGTGTGCGAAAATTTCAAAATCATGAGCTGAAAAACGCCGACTCCGCGATTTTAAATATTACAGCCAAACACAGAGCGGAACGCACCTAACGCGTACTAACGCCTACAAACCTAAGGTGATACTTCACGCATTGCGCAATGCTTGAAGTATCCCCTTAGGTTTGTAGGCGTCAATGCGCGTTGGAAGTTGGGCAGCCGCGCCGCAGCGTGCCACGGCGCCTTAAGCAACTATTTCACAACAGAGGTGTTGCACGGTATCAAACGAAATCGAAGGCGCTCCAACATTTTAAGAATGATAGGCGTCCTTTGAGAGTACGAAGCTTTCCTCGCAAAATAAATCAAGGTACAACAGCACGAACTCCCCTGCCGAAAAAACGCGTGGACATGAACTACTAGAAGAACCAGGTGTACGGACAAAAAATCGTTGTCGAAATGTCCTTCAACCCAAAATGGATTTCAATCAACACACGATAAGAAAACGTAACTCAAAATCAGAGAAACGCGTAATTCAAATCTGCAAATTTAAAACGACCCGGTTTTGCGCTGAACCGAATGACGTCATCCGGCACCAATCAGAGGCGAGCACGGGTTTCTATGACTTCCGTCAAATGTCTCTTTTACTCCTCGTATATAAACACATCAGGAAAGACAAATTTATACCCTCAGAATCAAATAATCGAATCTCATTCGGGTTGTCTGTAGTTAAAAAGCAACAATTTTACGTTTAAATACGTTTTATTTTGACAACCATCAGTTGAAAATGAGAGGAGATGGCGATTTGACTGCCGTGGTACATTACTTCCATAGTTTTCCCGCCATACCGGCGGGTTTGTAATCCCTTCAGACTGTGGAATTTTTTAAAAGCGGGCTTGTCCGGGATTTTGGGTCGAAAAATACGCAATTCCCCATCACACAATTTACTTGTAAGTTACTTCTCGATGCGTTCATCGTGGTTTTCGAGCCATTTTCTTCAAGTACCAACTGGATTGCATTTTGCAAAAAGGAACCAGGAGCATTGCAATGTTGCTGAAATTGTGCATCTTCTTTTGTCTTGGAAGAAAAACCTGATTTGCCATTAACAGTTCCCATTTTACTCGCTGAAAACTCTAAATTTCAAATGAAAATCATTATGTAAATTTCATGTTTTTTCATGGTTTCAGTAATTTTATTGCAAAGAGTGAAGTTATTGAAGTTGCACGATCTTAGCACCATTACAATGCTTCTGGTTCCTTTTTGCAAAATGCAATCCAACTCATCCCTTGCTCTAGCTGAAGCTTGCAACAGGCTCATTGCCTCCACCAAATGAATAGTAAATGCTACCAGATATCGTCTAGCCGTCCGTACTCTACAGCTCTCCTGCGTCAAAAATCAAGTAGACTCGTGATAGAATCCACACGTCCGGCAAAATTCCCCACATCTTTCCTTCGGCGCACGGACCATCCGATTCAAATTAAATCGTTACCAATATTGCAGCGTCTGAAATAAATATTTAATCTTCCCTCAAAAGAAAGGAACTTTCACGCGGGGCGCTAAATAAGTTTTACGTGCGGAACGGCAATTCCAGTGGTAAGTGGTAGCGGAGATGCCCTTAATGCAGCTATTACTCTAACTGAATCGACGTTTACAGCCTTACAAAGTGCTAGGAAGCACCCTCCGNGGGGGGGGGGGTGAAGGTAAGGACTTTAAGAGCTAGGAGCTGCGAAGAAGCAGAAATGCAGGCACGGTGAGCCTCGAGATCCGGAGAATGCAAATCCCTGAGTTTATCTGGTATATTCCCGGCCTAAGTGGATTTCGCGGGGCTCCCGCGGGAGAGGGGGGGAGGAGGGGGAAGGAGGAGGGAGGGTTGTTGCATTTGCATTTTGGAATGTGAAAAGAATCTATTATCCGTGGCTTTGGACTCTCGGCTTCGCGTGTCGGTGCAGCGTCTCTGACTTGCAAATTCTAAACATAATTTTAAGTGAGAATTGCATTACTTTTCTCTCTAATGGTTTATTGTGACAGAGGGGCCCGCCGGAATGGGTATATCGTCATCTTGGATCAAGCATGATGATTCTTGAATTTGCCGCCAAGAATTTGTTTTATCTTCTTTACGCTGACTTTTTCTTGATACAAGAAAAATAATGTTCGGGTTAAGAAAAAAGTAGCTTATATTAACCAGAAAAAAATCTTGATTTAAGAAGAAATGAGGCCTTACATGTAACAATGGCGGATGTAAAAAATTACCTTTCCGAAACACGCCTAAAAAACTGTTTTGGTCACACAAAAATCTAAAATGTTCGGCTCTGACATAATGTACAAATCTCGAAGATCACATCTCGAGTATTTTTTCAAAATTTTCTCGATGCCAAAACAGTTTTTTGAACTTGTTTCGTAAAGGTAATTTTTCACATCAGCCATTGTTACATTTAAGTCCTCAAATACTTCAAGGCTGCAAATTTAAGATTCTTTTTTTTTCCAGTGTATCGCAAGCGTCATGCGACGTTTAAAAGTTTCCGCTGCCATTTTATTTTTTGCGGAGAAATCGTTCAACGAAGCTGTCCGAAGATTTCGCTGAATATTCTTCGCGCTGCCGATGAAATGCAATGAAATTTCAAGCAGATGCAACTCTGAAAGAATTGAATGAAGAATTTTCTCAGAAATGTTCAAAATTTCTCTGTAAAAAAATAAAATGGCTGCGGAAATTTTTTAACGTCGCATGGCGCTTGTGGTATAGTATTTGCATAAATTCGCTCAGTTTTGCGGAAGAACGCTCATTAATGAAAATTCTTGGCCATATTGGTTTGATGTTGGAATCTGAAGATTGGTAGTGGAATTTTTTGCGTTACAGGGTTGGTTGCATGCCCTTTTGGGCCCTGAGAAGACCCAAAATACGGGAACCAATCAGAAATGGATTCGCATTGTTTTAACTCTCAGTATAAAGGGACTCTACGTGATGCTTCGTGCCTCACGCGTCATGCGTCACACTTTTCTCTTACGATTTCATATTATAGAGTAAGATTATAGCGTATGATGGTATTCAAAAGCAACTAACGGTTGTGTTTTTTCCTCTTGTGTGCAGGTGGTGGCCCTGTTCGGGGTGATCAAGTACTACAACATGCTGCGGGTGGGCATCACGTGGAAGAAGGCGGAGATGATCGAGCTGTGATATAAGGTGGGCACTGCCACCTCGGTGCCGAGCCCGAGCGGCGCTCGAACCCTCAGCACCAGCAGCAGTGCCTCTTCCTCCACTTCCACCTCGGCTCACTCCCAGTGCCCCTGCGACAGTGTATGATACCGCCCTCAACGCAGCCTCGCATCTCAGATTGCTTCCAGTGACAAAGCAACTATTCACGCCTTGCGGATTCTAACTCACCCGAATCCGCTCTCATGAACTCTTAGTGGTCCTGCACTGTGGACAATACCACCCTCAACACAGCAACTCCCAGTACTCCTGCGAAAGTGTGGGATACCGCCCTCAACGCAGTTTCGCATCTTCAGATTGCTTTCAGTTACAAAGCAACTATTCACGCGTTGCGGATTCTAACCAGCCCGAAGTGACTTTGATCCACTCTTATGCACTCCTAGTGGCCCTGTCCTGTGGATGATACCACCCTTAACAAAGCTTCTCCTGGTGCCCCTACGACTGTGTATGATACCGCCCTCAACACAGCTTTGCATCTCACATTGCTTCCAGTTACAAATCAATTATTCACGCGTTGCGGATTCTAACCCGCCCGAAGTGACTTTGGTCCGCTCTCATGTACTCTTAGTGACCCTGCACTGTACCTAGATGATACCACCCTCAACACAGCTACTCTCAGTGCTCCTGCCACAGTGTATGATACCGCCCTCAACGCAGCTTTGCATCTCAGATTGCTTCCAGTGACAGAGCAACTATTCACGCGTTCCGCGTTCTAACCCGCCCGAAGTGACTTTCACTTTAACCGCTTTTGTATACTCCTCATGGCTCAGCACCATCAACACATCTACTTTCAGCGAGTCCCATCCCAAAAACTCCAGATTCGTCTCCACACCCCTCTCATTATTTCCACCTTGAACCCCACCCGTACATCACAAGCTCCTCCTTAACCCTTATCCTCATCTTGAAAAAAAAGGTTTTTACACGATCTGACAGTTGGAGTCTGACTTCGCTCTTATGTGCTCCTCACAGCCTGCACTCAGTAGATGATACCACCGACCACCCACAACGCTGCTACGAACCCTGGATTCTACCCTTCCTGCCTCCAACTTACTAAGTGCCCACTGCTTCCTTTTCCTTGAGCCAGATACTTTGAGTTATTCCATTTTTGAGAAAGATAATTAAAATATCATGAAAAATGATTATTAATGTAGTATTCATTGAACGTATTTATGTTAAAGGGAACTATGAGCAAACAAATAAAATATCCCATTCAATTTATCATAAATCATAATAGATAAATCATAATCATTTATCATAATAGTCCGGTTCAGCATAATTGGACTACATTTTGCAATTTGGAACTATAAATTCTAGCCCGGTTTAAAAAAAACGTATGTGCCATCAGGTTCCCTATACACATAAGTGTTTCTCCAGAAGAGCAAGAGTTTATAGTTCCAAATTGCAAAATGTAGTACAATTAAGTACCATTCTGAGACGACTCGTGCCGACTACTAATCGGAAACCATTGAATTAAATCCAAAACAATCCAGAAAATACTCGACCCCTCTTCAGGTTGCCACAGGGTAGAATTTAACTCGATTAAAATAAAAACCAAATTCACACGTATAGATTAACATTACCTCTCATGAATAATCCTCTCTATTAATTTACGTTACAATTAAACTAATTGTTCCCCTAAAATCCTCTGGTTCTCTTTTGCTGGGTTGGATGAATTATGTACAAAAATTAGTCAATGCAACTGTAAAATATCGGCAGTGAAACTACCAGACCACGTACCTCGTTTGTGGTGTTCAAAAATCTTCGTTCCCATCTTAATTTTTTTGAAGGAGAACAAATTAATATCATTCCTTGAAGTATCCACAGAGTTTTCTTCGCTTCGATAAGAAAAATCAAGGAGTTTTCCAAGAACGGATGTTTGACGGATGATGAACCGAGACAAATTGTTTGTTGGTTTCATCGTCGATATACAGGTAGAAAAAAAAAACAAATAAAAAAAATCATCAAATCATCAAAAATCATTAAATTAAATAAAAATATAAAAATTTATCTGGAATATTTTAATTACTCATGAAAAACTCTCTCATTGCTCGTGATGCGTAGCGGAGACATGCGAGCTTGTAACCTGGTCTTTTTAACTACATTATTTTCTTTTGATGAGACATAACATGCCATCACATGCAGGTTGTATTAAAAATAATTTGTTTAACATTCATATGACAAACTAAAACGCTGGTCGAGGTACGTTTGGTAACAAAACAGACACATCAAAGTCCGTGGTATTTTTTATAAGAGGACGGATTCTGCGCATGAATAGTTGCATATAGTTTTTATTATTTTATATCTCTGTTAAACTTGTAAATAATTAGTGTGCTAATTGTATAGACCAGACTGTATATTATAATAAATTGTAAGAAATCATATTTAAATGTGGTCTCTTTATTTACGAATCCGAACAAAATTTACACTGTTATCATTCGTAGATTCTAAAGTGATGGGTGTGCGGTGCGACAGTATATTCGGTAATCTTCTTTTTAATGTCGTGTACAATTACCGAAGAAGTGTTTTATTTCACATTTTTACTCATGAATGCAAATGAAATGGGCCGTATTCTAAGTCTTTTCTTAAACAGCTCCTTTCCGCAGAAAACACCGAATGGTTTACAGTGTGATTAACGGAGCCTCCAACATAGCTTCCTAAAAAGGACAAATCTAGTGGCGTGGCGTGCTTTGCGATGGATCAATTGAGGAGCTTTCCGGAAAAAGGGCACATACCGAAAAAACAAGTTGTGAGAAAAACGCACTTGAAGTTTTCATTCCTTCTTTCTGGGCACTGATGATGACATACATCGGAACTGGGGCACTCATATCAACGTTCATACACCCTAGAATGAATAACGACCATTGGTAAAACTTACACTTCTTTCAGTGTTGTGGGAGGAATTTTTTAAAATTGTCCGTTATGTGCCCTTTTCCCGGAAATGGACCGGCGGTTATAGGTTTTGGCTTTCGAAGCTAAATTTTCAAGACTTTAACGAGTTTCTAAACGAAAATAAATCATAATTTCGATCGCGAACGTGCGGGTGGATCATTCCCGACCATCGTTAATAAAAAAGATAGCAAAATACGCGAAAAATCGAAAAATTAAAACCCACAAGAGACCATTAAAAATTGAGTTATTAATAATTACAGAATTTCACGTGTCACCGGTAAAACGCGTAGACAATCACTGCAACCCGATGATATTGCATTGATTAGTAGAATCAGTGCGATGCATCTGTAATGAGGGATCCTTACTTTATATCAGTACCCATCACCTGCCTGACTGCCTGCGCGCTATCTCCTCAACGTCGCGTCGCGGCGACCGTACCCAGGGGCAAATAGATGAAATACGCCTGACTTAGCCTCACAAAACTTGGTCTCTTAGCTCCAAAAATTGACCAATTAAGCTGAAACTCGGGACATTGGTACATCAGGATGCGAGGTTTCCGTTTCTGCCATTTCCGGAAAAAAGCCACATACACGTATGTGCCCTTTTCCGGAATGCTCCTCAATTCTAGCAGGAGCGCAATTCAGCTATGCACTCACGACTGAAAAATGTCACCGGAAATCGAAAAGGCCAGCGTGCATGAAGGCTATTTCAATTGTAATCTTCCGTCACATTCTTACGGCGCAATGATACAACTATTTGAACTCTCCGGAATGCGTGAGGTATCACGCCGCATTTGAAGGCGTTTTCCAAACAGCCAAGTTTCGATATCCAGATTATCGTTTTGCATAGTTCATATTATTTTGTTTTCATTTCTAACCGCTTGTTTATTCTTAATCCTCGTATAAAAACCACCCATTTGCTAAATACAATTTATTGTTATGCCATTTCAACCTATGAAAAAGGATCGATAAACAGGATGTTCGCAGCGAACACCTTAGTAAACGATTCTTTACCGTAGGTTTAAACGGCATAACAATCGATAAATCGCAATTCATGCCAAATTCACTGGACAAATCATCGTTTCCGAGACAAAAGAACATAACTCAATTCCAAGGTTGCAAACTTGATTGAAACGGATACATTCTTGTAAAAAATGATTTTCTTTTTTTATAAGAATGTATCCGTGCAATTTTTGTCCAAAAATTTTCAAATCATTGCATTAAATCAGAGGAAAAATCGATGTTTGCAGTAAAAAATTCCCGAGATTCGCTTGGTAAAAATCGGTATGTCGACGGTGAAACTACCAAACTACGTATCTCGTTTGCGGTGTTTAAAAATCTACGCTCGCATTTTATTTTTTTGAAGTAGACCAAATCAATATCATTCCTTGAAATTTTCACAGAATTTTCTCCGCACAAAGAGGAAAAATCACAGAAATTTTCAAGACTGGGCGTTAAGTAGTTTTTCATTTAAAAAATAAAGTATGACAGGAAGTCTGCGACGTCGTAAACCGAGATACGTAGTTTGGTAGTTTCACCGTCGATGTGCGGGGAAATAAGCAAAATTTAAATGGAGTTACGTTCTTTCGTGAGAAAAACGATGATTTTTTTCATATCTCTGGTAAAATAGGGTGTAACTTTAGAAATGGATCCTTGCAAGTGATTAAAATAATCACCGCCAAAAAAAAAAAAAAATACTCTACTTATGTGCGAGTTCGTTTGGCAGATTTTCTAATAGGTCCAAATTTTTTTTTTACATATAAAATTTTGATCAGAAGATGTGCACTGTGATGCGCAATTTCCCAATCTGCGAAAAAAATAGCTTATCAAGAAAAATTGTCGGAAAGGCACAAACAAACGTAAATGAATTTTTGGAGTTCCATTTCTATGTGAAGTTCAAACTGAAGTGAAATAAGGGCAATCTCTGATAAAATGTTATCCAAACATAAAAAACGTATGAATATTGGCCAAAGAGTAGAGACAACATGCACTCAATCGTAGCGTGTAACTGTACTCATTGTTGGACCACGATTTTTCCGTCCAGGAAAGCATACGGAATTTAAAACGCCTTCATTTCGTCGTATATGCATCAAGCAATGATTGTCAAGCACGATAAGTTACCTACACTTTTTATTGAAGGCGTTTTTGCTGATCCACGCACATCACGGCACGTGTGCTGTCGTCGTTTTTCTTGTGTTTGGCATTTAGGTTCGTTTTTGAAGAAGATATGATTTGAAAAGTCTCTACAAATTCGTAAGTATTTTTCGCTGAATTTAGGTAATGGTGGACTTTGCTCGTAAAGGTAGTTAGTTATATCTGCTACAAAAAGCCTGACATCTCCGTTATGAAACCAATGAAAGAATCCCTAGTTCCTCCCTCATACATAACCTAAAACAACCTTTTCAAGCAAAATTAACGATTCTCATCCTTACATCTAGGTTACTCTAACCTCCCTTCCTTGATTTTGCCCATACTGAAAACAACTATTAAAAATTTAAAATAGTGTATTTATTTCGGAAAATACACTAAAACTCTTCAACTTACTGAATCCTGTTTTTTTGAGCATTTACCCTGTTTAATCTTTTTAAATCGTATGCACGGTTATTATAAAAATGAAGCATTAAAAAAATGACATAATGTGGATCACAATGACCAGGACAAAGAGAGGAAACCATGGAAACGGCGTAACTTATGCCTCTTTTTGTAACCGATTTTCTATCAATTTGGTATGGCCGCTTCTTTTCAAAATTCTGAAACCTTCGTGGAATATGATGCAAACGTGAGTCAACTTTGCCCAAATTCTCACGAGACACATTTTTGGTTGAAATTTTTTCGATGCACTCTCTCCAACTGAAGCGGACGCAAAAAATTCTAGGTAAGTTCATTCCGCTCTCACCATCTCTATAACGGATCGCTTTCTGGGTGCTGTATTCTTTCGTTAATATGTGTGTAGCATTGCTTAGCAACAGCTCAGTGGCGTGGCATGCTTTGCGATACATCGATTGATCTATCATTTAAACCCATGGAAAAGGATCGATGAACAGGGAGTTCGCTACGAAGACTTTAATAATCGATTCTATACCATAGCTTTAGATGGAAGAATATCAATACTCGACCATTCACGCTCCGCCATTGCAACAGCTTTTCGGGCAGTTGTTGAGACTTGCTTATAATTTTGATTTTGCTCTCTTCCTAGGCAAGACATGAATTGGACTGAGTTAATCAGAAAGGAACCAACCCACATTTAGGAAAAAATTGAGTTATGAGTGGTTTTGAACTCAACCACTGCTCTACTATCCATCGCCAAAAATTCTAAGTTTTTGTTGGAGCAAATTTTGCAGAAACAGAACTTGAAGTTTATCTTTTACATTGAGTCTTATGCAGGAGCCATACTTTAAACCTCTTTTTCTCGGTTCGTTCCCGATGTGGCTTGGTTCCTTTCTGTTTAACTCCGTCCAATTGAACAACTATTCAACACGTTTTCTCTCCAAAACACGCAGCAAATAAATCGCACAACTGAGAGGCTGAAAATCAACTCTTGAACAGGATATCGATGGCTAAAGTGCGATACCTACCACGTATCTTCCTTTGTGACTTTGTACCCTTCCAATCATACTCTATTTTTTCCTTAGAAAGCTAGTTGACGTAAATTCTTGAAAACTTCCTCGATTTTTATTCCCTATTAGTAAAATAATCTGTATGAATTTCAAGCGTTGAAGTTTAATTGTTTCTCTTCGAAAAAATACACAAAGAGCGGAGATTTTGAAAAAATTGCAATGTATGCAGGGCCAGATTTACCTAATTGCCGCCCATGGGCCGCCTGTATTTTGTCGCCCCCTTCTCATTCCTTTTGAAACATCTATGAAAACCATCAAGTGAACGTGCCGGAGGGGAAGGGGTGCGTAAGACGCGCTTACTCACTCGTATTGAATACATTTTTTGCGAAAACCCTGTCAACACTACTAGCAAAATTTCACGGAACTATGCGCGAAAGTTAAGTTCCGTAAACATATCTCTGTGTGAACAAAGTCCTCCATTTAAAAGAAATGAACCAAAAAATTGAAAGAACAAACATAAATGTGGTTTAATAATTTTAACTTCCGCCGCTGGCGCCGGGCTGATCGCACTGTGTTAGGCGCAATGCGTGAGGTATTCCTGCAGTCTTGTAGGCGCTACGCGTTTCATCACCAACCGCTCCTGACCGCACTGTGTTTGACGCAATGGAGGAAGTATTCATGCAGTCTTGTAGGCGCTAATATGTGTTACATGCCGACCGCCGCCGTGCCGAGGGCTTGTCCTTTTCATCTCAAGTCCTCGTCATCATTCCTCTCTGCGCTGAGCTCCAGGCCCAATTGCGTGTTTAGTTCCTCTCTTAACTCGACTAATTAAAGATGCTGTCTCTTTAATCACCGAAAAACGATACAATTAGAAATTACTATACTCTCAGGAAAGAGAGATTTTGTCCCCTTTTCTCGTTGATAATTTTTTTTCTGGATCCGCTTTTTTTATACCTACTTACATTTAAAAAAAATTGCAAAATTTGCCGCCCCCTAAATTTTCTGCCATGGACCGCGGCCTGTGGCCACCCCCTTAATCCGGCCCTGAATGTATGTACGTGATGTCACACTCCAGCCATCGATAAGTGTTCATTACATAGAGTACATAGAGTCGTAATGTAAGTGGGTGAGCTGGCGCCACTTTTAAGCATTTTCAAGGTCCCGAATTCCGAGCCTCCTGTGTGACGCCGGGTCACTTTTTCGATACATAATCGATTGTTTGCGATACACGGGTACCCGGCCATCCGATGACAACAACAACAACAACAACAGCAAAGGAGATAGGAATTACCACGTATTCCACACCGCCATTTTGGATCGAACATGTATCGAAAAAGTGACCCGAACTCGGCGCACACCGGGCTCGAAACTCGTAGAGCAGAACATGGCGCCAGCTCTCCCATTTACATTACGACTCTATGTACTCTATGGTTCATTATCAATCTTGATTAAGTGACAATAATTAAAATGACGCAATTTTTCCTCACGTCTAGTTTATAACTTTCATTTGATCTGTGTTTTTAAATACGTGTTAGTATCTCGCTCTCTACTTGAGCTTTTGAAGAGAACATATGCGGGTTTCCTCCAGTTTAGACCTTGTTCAGTGGCCTATTCTGAAGTCCTATGAAAAAACGCCGTATGGTAATTCGAAGGTTGCCAGAAACCTCGCGATAAAACATTTTTTGTTGGAAACTTAAGAGTATATTTCCTTGAAACTTTCGAATACTTTATACTAAATATCTAATGAAATTATCATATAAATTGGAAGGTAAATGTTCACAGTTACCAATGATTCGAGTGCATCGAGGAATATTTGGCAACACTCTGAGACTAGATATGTAAAACACATTCTTACGGTTAAGACTTTAGTGATTAACGCCTTGGACCCTTCTTAATGGTTCCCCGGTTACTTTCTTATCTTTAGTTATTTAATTCTTTGATCTTTTTACCTTTTGTCGTTTCAAACTTGTTTGGATTTTAGGAGTGAGTGCTGATGTTATGCATTATTGCCCTTCCGGTACTTCCTTCTGTAATCTTTTATTCTTTAATGTTATCTTATCCCTATATTTATGTATAACGCCATTTATTTGGTATCTAAAACTTTGTCTTAGTTGATAAGCATTTAGTTTAATAAAGAAACTTTGAAAAAAAAAAAAAAAAAAAAAACCACTCTGAGACTCATACGGCGTTCTTCCTTAGCATGGCAGTATTCATAAGTGCACTGGAAAAAAACACATTGGATCTAGAGTCCAGACTCTTGAAAACATTGACAAGAAAAAATACTCTTGATTCAATCGGATTTTTGCTTGGATCAAAACGAAATCCGCTTAAATTAAGAGGCTTGGTTCAGGCTTTTGATTTAAGCTAGATTCTGATTGAATCAAGAGTACTTTTTCTTGTCGATGTTTTTAAGAGTCTGGACTCAAGAGCCAATGTGTTTTTTTTCCCAGTGTGGATCGCATTTTGCCCAAAACGAGTCACATTTTGTTATAACTATAAAAATCGGATCGATCATTTTTTTTTTCAGATTTATCGTAGCTCAGAACTCGTTGAAGTTCCAACAAGAAAAACTGCCGTTAGGAAACCAGAAAATCAACCCAGTTCCCAAAATTATAAGCATGTACAAATTAATAGTAAACGATGCCGCACGAACAAGACCCGACTTGGTTCGTAATGAAACGAGGGTGGCTTCCTCCACAAACATGATCGTTAACAACGAGCCCTCTAACGAACCTGGCCTATCAGACACACAGAACCCAACCTCAACGAATTATCAGATCGACAGAGACAATCCGGAGTCTGCAGATACAGATTTTCGAGTACAGGTACGAGAATTCGATTTGAGCAACCCCGAAAATATCAACATTGAGGTTATCGTGGCTGATGACCAAACCCTAGTAGCAGAACAGATTTTTGTTTTTCTAAAAAAAAAGTATAAAAAAACATATCCGTTATCTAAATGATAGTTTTATATAAAAAATTTGTATAGCTTATATAAAAAAAAATCAAAGTTCAGACCTAACCATAATATATGAAAAATGATAAAGGCTAGATACGGTAATTTTTTTTATAGACAATTTTTTCATTTTTTTATATAACGCATGCATACGAAAGTGTTAAAAGTGAACATTTTAATGTAACTATTATATTAAAAAAAGGTCATAATTTTTGTGAGCTTTCTGCGAATTAGAAGATTTTTTTAGTATGTTTGCGAAAAGCTCACGAAAATTATGACTTTTTTATATAATGGTTACATAAAAATGTTCACTTTTAACACTTTCGTATGCATGCATTATATAAAAAAAAATTAACTTTCGTACATAATCTTTATCTTTTCCCTCTATGGTTCTGCTACTAGGGAATCCCTCTTGAAGACTTCTTGGACAGCCAGCTCTCACATCAGCTCTTCGTGGACTTAGCAGGAGACGATGAACCACTTCCGGCGTTACCGGAAGCACCCACCTCAACTTCCCGGAACAACCCGTTTTACGGCCAGTACCCTCTCAGTGCGTACTTCCAGGACGAGGAGATGCCTGAACTGGAGGCTCCTTACATGGCGAGTTCCGAGGGGTTTTCCGGTAACGTAGCCTGGGACAACCAACCGGAAACGAGGGGGCCGCCGGTGAGCGTCCTCGGCGACGGATGGAACACACCGGAAACCGGAAACGGTCGGGTATCCCGGATGTCCCATCGGACCTGGGACATCCTGCTCTCGGTCAACCCCGCGACAGGTTCCGGCGATACTCCTCCTGGCGCCAGAGCCCCGCTAAGATTCGAGGCCTCTACTTCCGGTATGACGGTCCGACCGGAAATGAGGCGCAGCTACTCTCCGAGGACGTTGTACGACACGTGGAACGTTCCGCCGGAAACGGGGCCGCCGCCTCCCGAGGCCACGTCACTTCCGGTTCAACCGGAAACGGAAACCAGGCGAGAGGCTGGCACTCTCTACGATGTGTGGAACATCGCCCCCGGAAATGGTTCTCGAGTGCCTATTTCCGGAAACCGAGACGAGTTAATCTCGGATGCTTTTTGTATCCTCTCCAGCTTTGCAGAGCCCTCTCGAGGCAATTCTATTTCCGGTGAAATTTCGACCACGTCGGAGATTCTGGCCGGTGCTCTGGCCACTCTCAATGAGCCTTATGGGGAAATAGTTCCGGTTCCCAGAGCGACGACTTCCAGCTCGATGTCTAGTTCCGATACAACGACCGTTAACGCCGATGTTACTTCCGGTGCAACTACTGCCGAGGCAGCTTCTTCCGGTGCAGCAAGCTCCGGTAAAGTCACTTCTGAGGCAGCCACTTCCGGTGAAGCTTTTACCAGTACTCTTACCACTCCGAATGAACCGTTCCGAGCGTTCCCGCTGATGCTTAGAACAGCAGTACCCAACAAGATGTCTACTTCCGGCATAGCTAATGCTATCATCCCCATTGCCTCCGGCTCAGTCATTTCCGGGACAAGCTCTCAAGGTGCAGCCTCTCTCAACGCAGTGACATCCAGTCCAGACTTTTCTAGCTCAGGCTTTTCCGGCACAGTTATTTCCGGCGTAGCCATTCCTGGTGCAGCCTTTTCCGGCGCATCCGCTTCCAGTGTAGCCCCTTCCGGTGCAACCACTCCCAGCACAGCCATTTCCGGGACAATCTCTTTTGACGCTGCGATATCCGGTCCAACCTTTTCCAGTTCAGGGGCTTTTGACACTACTTCCGGTGCAGCTACTTCCGGTATAGCCACTTCCGGCACATCCACTCTCGGTATATCTACTTGCGGTACATCTACTTGCGGTACATCTACTTGCGGTACATCTACTTGCGGTACATCTACTTGCGGTACATCTACTTGCGGTACATCCATTTCCGGTATATCCACTTCCGGTGTATCCACTTCCAGTATAGCCACTTCTGGTACAGCCACTTCCAGTATAGCCATTTCCGGTGCGGCCCCTCTTGGCGCAGCGATTCCTGGCACAGCCATTTCCGGGGCAATCACTTTTGATGCAGCTTCTTTAGAGGCAGCCGTTTTCGGTCCAGACACTTTCGGTACAACTACTGCCGATGCAGCCGTTTCCGGCGCATCCACTTCCGGTACAGCCCTTCCCGGTGCAGTCCTTCCCGGTGCAGTTCTTCCCGGCACAGTCCTTCCCGGTGCAAACCCTCCCGGTACAGCCCTTCCCGGTACAGTCCTTCCCGGTGCAGTCCCTCCCGGTACAGCCCTTCCTGGTGCAAACCCTCCCGGTACAGCCCTTCCCGGTACAGTCCTTCCCGGTGCAGTCCCTCCCGGTACAGCCCTTCCCGGTGCAGTCCCTCCCGGTACAGCCCTTCCCGGTACAGTTCTTCCCGATGAAGTCCCTCCCGGTGTAGTCCCTCCCGGTACAGCCCTTCCCGGTGCAGTCCCTCCTGGTACAGCCCTTCCCGTTCCGGTCACGTCCCGTGGAGCCACTTCCGGGCCGATACCCGACGACAGCATCTGCAACTGCAGCAAGTGCGAGCGTCTGGAGGACACCGCCAGCGCGGAGGAGATCGAGAGCGAGGGTGGAGGCGGGTGCGGAGGTTGCTGCGCCGACCTGGAGGTCCTCCACCGGCTCCGAGGGCGCCGGACCTGCATCACGACCTCGCCCTCTTTCCGGGAGCTGGTGCTCAACCGTCGCTTCCTCAACCTCACCCGCCATCTGCTGGCTTGCAAGTCGCCGGACCCGCGCCGGAGGTCGGCCTTCACGCGCCGCCGGCCCTCGCCCAAGTTGTGGCGCTCCATCGCCGCCAAGCAGTTCCTCTACTGGGTCGTGTCCGCTCGCAACTTCGACCGGCGACACTGCGTCAAGGTCCCCCTCTGCGTCGCCGCCGCTATCCACAGGAGGTTTAAGTGAAGTCCCGATTGCAATGCCATCCGCGACTCTTTGAACCTTGTCCACTCCAAGCTCAAATATTGGTAATACCCATGTTACTTCCGGTACAGCCACTTCCGGTTCGGCTACCTCCAGTACAGCCACTTCCGGTTCGGCTACTTCGGTGCGGCTACGTCTGGTTCGGCTACCTCCAGTGCAGCCACTTCTGCTTCGGCTACTTCGGTGCGGCCACTTCCGGTTGGGCTACTTCCGGTTGGGCTACTTCCGGTTGGGCTACTTCCGGTTAGGCTACTTCCGGTTGGGCCACTTCCGGTCCGGCTGTTTCCGGTAGATGACCTTCGAGCGGAAGTGAAATAGCGATTGCGATATATTCATCGGCTCTTGAACGCATTGTCTACGTATTCAAGTTCAGCGAGTTCTACTACCCATGCTACTTTCGGGACATTCACCACCGATACAGTCATTTCCAGTGAATTCGCTTCCGTTTATTCGTCGCTTGGCTGACGTATGGGAAGGGCGTAACTACACATTGAGATGAGCCCGGAAAAGCATTGAATTTTATGGAAGACAGGGTTCATTGCAGAGTGCAGTTACGCCCTTTATGTGAGGTAGGCGACGAATTACGATCTCGACCGGCGAAATTGCGTCAAAGTAAATTTTGTGCGTCGCCGCCGTCTTCGAGAGGAACTTCAAGTGAAGAAGCAATTGCAGTGTCATCGTCGACCCAGCCGCTTACCTCAAGTTCAAAGATTTCTAATTCCTATGTCACTTCCGGTACATCACCATCGGTAATGCCATTTCCGACTCGGTCGCTTCCGGTAAATCCACTTCCGGAACGATGCCGGATGATAGTTTCAGCCATCGCGGAGATCTCGAGTGCCTGGAGGGTAAAAATGTTCCTCCACTAGGTCATCTACCTGCAACTTCGACTGGCAACAATATTGCATCAAGGTCCCCCGTCGCCGCGTGTATCAATTGAAACGAGCGATTGCAAAGCCATCAGAAATGATTCTTCCTCAGATAATCAAGGTAATGTAACGGAATCTATGTCAGTGGTAGCACGCAGTTGGCTGATAATTAAAGTTGATAGACAAAGCTATAAATAGATAAAATAGAAAGAGGGGAAATGGAGGGATCCTATTGCTTGAAACGAATTGTAAGTGGTTCTTATACATATAGACTAAGGGAGGAAATGATATACTAACGATAGAGCTTCTCTTGGGTTGCCATTAGTTAGTATATTACTTACCTCCCCTCTGTCCATCGCAACCACCCTGTCTCACAGGATGGCTCCATTTTCCTTTTGTCTTATTTGAATTGATCAGCCCACACTGCCGTGCTCAGGAAGAACTCCGTAAGAAAATTCGAGAGTTACCAATGATACCTGATACCAATGATACATGAGTTATTTTCGATAAAATGTTAATTTTCTAGGAAAGCCATGAATATTTTTCCTTTAAATTTTCAGAATCTTTATGTAAAATTGTTAACTAAATCATCTGAAAAATTGGGGAAACAATATTCATAAATTTACCAGGAAATTCGCGTTTCATCAAAGGAAATTTGGCAACGCTTGAAGGTTCATACGGCGTTTTCCCTTATAACGGCAGCACAGATCAGTAATCACAGCAAGAAGAGACTCATTTTACATTCTCGGGAGAACTGAGCCTCCTCGGAAGTTCAAATCAGCGGTAAAACTGCAAAAAACCATATCTCGGTTGCGGTGTTTCAAAATCTCTGCTCTTATTTTAATTTACTAATTGAGACCGATCCAACGTCAAGACTTGGAATTTTACAAAATATTTCTCTCGTAAGTGTAGAGTGGAAAGAACCACCGAAGTTTTCAAAAAATGACTTTTAGTAGTTTTCCATGTAAAAAATAGAATATGACAAGCAGTCTGCAACGCCGCAGACCGAACCACGGATTTTTGCAGTTTACCAATGAATGAAATTTAATCATGAATTTTGAAAAAAGCGCAAAAATTTTCGCAATATCTTTGATTGTTTTTTCCAAACGAGAAGTAAGTGAAGGCACATATGAGAGAAGTTGTTTTCAATCAAGTCAGTATTATTACTGAGTTGATTTAGCAACAGCTTGTTTGCCTTCAATTTTTGAATATGTAACATGCACATTCATGGAGCAGGAATTCATGCATCCATCAGGCGTTGTGTAATTACATGTATTAACCAACCACTCAGCGTAGCTTCGATCGGAATTCATGATCATTGAAGGTGCCTCGGTGTAAATATTTCATTAGAATTCACAAAGCTGCCGAGAATTCCAATTCGTTGGCCAAAATTAGTGAAATCTAAAGCAAATCTCTGTTTTTGGAAGTTTGAGAATTGTTTTCAAAAAAAAATCTTATACAGGCTCGGACTGGCCATAAGGCCAATCTGCCATTGGCAGAACCCCCTTTGCGCGTCGAAAACGCGCCCCTCTCACAGATAGCAAAATAAGAAGAAAAATAAAATACGAGAATATGTGAGGAAAATTTCTTAAATTAACGGAGAGAGAGTTAGGAGTAAAGAAAGGTGCTTTAACGTAAGAGAGTGGTGAACAGAGGTCCAAGAACTACTTTCTGAAGCGTAAACAATTTTACGTGAAATTTTCACCTTCTTGTTGACATACAGGCACTTTATCATCCCCCTCCTTCATTCGCTATGTGTAACTCCCTCAGAAGCGATGGTCCGTTCAATTTTTAGACATACGCATCCTTTTTAGACCCCTTAAGAGACCTTTAAACATATTTCCTCCTTTTCATGTGACTATTGATTTGGACATGCCATAGCGTAGCTCGGGCAAACTTAACCTTAATTTATCTCGAAATTCAAAAATAAGAGATATCTAAAATGTAAACGCGTTACAACTATTCGCACAAGATGGGTGTCCACATTGCATATGAAAAATATAAGACGCGATGCCGTGAGTCGCGGGACCACGAAACGCTCTGCTCTAGTTTGAAGTAACATTACAAATAAGACAAACGCAAACAAACACAATATGGGAATAAAGCGAGGGAGAGGACGCGCGTTAACGACGGCGCAGAGATACAACTATTCGTACTTGATGGACGTCCGTGCTGCATCTGAAAAATTGAAGGCGCGATGGCGCGAACCGTGAGCTCTCAATGCTCTACCTACTTTATGCTGTCAATGAAGTGTCGCTCTGATTCGGGAGAAAATTTTAAAAAAGGGCCTGAATACATCCTCTCCCACCTTCGCCTGTGTTACTCATGTAGTGCTTGAAGCACCATTACGAAGAAGACAAGCGGACACAAACACAATATGGAAAAATATGGAGAGAAAGGGTGCGTGTTTACGACGGCGCAGAGATACAAATATTCGTACTTGATGGACGTCCGTGCTGCATCTGAAAAATTAAAGGCGCGATGACGCGCAGCGTGAGCTCTCAATGCTGTGCTCCACGTTCAATTTTGCAATTTTTACTCCGTGCGATCAATAAACTTTGAACCTGAAAATAGCGTAAACTTGTGCTGATTTGCCAAAAGTTTCTGAACCCCTCTCCACGTAGGGAATGTCATACCAGGAAATATCACATTACGCCCCTTTAACCAGCCAAGCCCTGGTAAAAATTGGCAGTAGAATCTGTGTTCCAAAATACTGCCGGCTGTAAGATAACCAATAGCTTCTATAGCCGGCAACACAATTGTTTATAGCCGATGGCGACTAAGCAACAGCCTGGCGATAAAGTGTATGCTAAACGTTACTAATTACGGATGCTAGGACTTGGTGAGTTTTTGGACTACCACTTTCTTTTCGGGCCGTAGTGTCTTGATTTATTTTGCGATGAAAGCTCCGTACTTTTGAAGGATGCCTGCCATTCCTAATATGTTGGAGCGCCTTCAATTTCGTATGATACTGTGCAATACCTCTGGCGTGAAATAGTTGCTTCAAGCGCCGTGGTACGCTGCGGCGCGGCAGGCGGGCAGCCAGCGCCTACAAACCTAACAGGGATACTTCACGCATTGCGCAATGCGTGAAGTATCCCTGTTAGGTTTGTAGGCGCCAGTGCGCCGCCGCGCGCCGCTCCGCTTTGTGTTAGGCTCTAATATTTAATCTCGTGGAGTCAGCGTTTTTCAACTCATGACTTTGAAATGTTTGCACACTCTGTATGGATTATTCTCATTTTGATTGATGAAAAAAAATATGCGGTGAAGGAAAATATAATGTGCGTTTTGTAAATATTAAGGTGATTTTGTACAAACTTAAGGATTTACAAAGCACAAGAATTTCTACACAATTCCTTATAGCCTTTTTAGCCGATGGCGATCAAGCAACAGCCAGACGATAAAGTGTAAAGCCCGGCGATAGGAACCATTGTCATAGCCCGGCTGTATAATTTTTTATCGCTTCGTGTAGTCCGGCCGTATGATTTTTTCCACTTTTTACAGCCAGCTATATGATTTTCTATCGCCTTCTTCAGTCAGCTATAAGAACTCCTATGGTATTTTGAAACGTAGCTCCTATCGCCAATTTTTACCAGGGAGGGTCTACGCCCTCAGATGCGAGCCAATCCGACCCTGCGTACCCATTAATCCAAGCTAATTTTTCACAGAACATAAACGATATAATGGTGCCTTAGCTTAGTATCACAGACCGCAGATCTTCCTTAATAAATACAGTGAATATCGCTTATAACGACATCGGTTATAACGACATATCGGTCATAGCGACGCGATCTCTTCGGTCTCGGCCGAAACTCCATTAGATCAATGTATTTAGGCATCGGATATAAAGACGACGCTCATGGCGACATATCGGTCATAGCGATGGAGTTTCCGCGGAATTATATGTCGATATGCGATATTCACTGTATAAAGAAAGCAAATGCAAAAATCCCGTGATTTGTAAATTTCAAAATTGCAATTTTTCGAAATGTTTCATTAACTTTTTATACAGTCTCATTCGACAGGACCAAAAAGTTACGCTCCTTAATGCCAATGTAGGGTTTTTTATTTTTATTTTGTTATATTTCTTTTAGTTTTTACTAATAACATAGCAATAACTTAAAGACTTGAAAATTATTCTAAACCCATAGCTTTTAAACCTTCGGCGCAATTCGATCATAATTTTCGAGAATTTTTTATCAGTGCTTTTTTAAAGAATTTCTTCACAAGCCGCGTAAAAACTTAAATAAAATGATTAATCATCGCCCTCTTACGTCATTCTCTCTTTGCGTCACTATCCGCCGGCCCGCCCGGCCCAGTCCAATTAAATGAAGCCTGGCTTTACCAGTGAAAAATTGGCGGAAATCTCTTCCGCGCCATTAACATAGTTTCATCCCTTTAACATTATTCCTCGATATTAATATCGAGAAAAACTCAATTTGCATTGAAGGGACTTCTGCCTCATATTAGCATGTGTTTTTATTTATTTTTTTTGTAAAAAAAGAATGTATCGGGTAATAATTCGAGCAAACTTTCAAGTCGCAGCTTAGGAGGTCACGGGCCGTTTTCGTCAGTGTGAACACGGCTTTGCGTGGCGCAGGCACGTGATCGATGCGACCCCTAGAGCCATCTGACGGAGTTTCTTGGAACTCGCTATCTATTCTATTTTCAGTTCGCGGTTGGAGCTACAAACTGTGATTAGGAAAGAAGTGTATTGCCATCTTGGTTTTTCAGTTTTTCACCTCGTCAAAAATGGAGTTTAAATTCTCTAACTTTGGATTATCCAGCATGTTATTCATTGTGGTATTAGCCCAGCTCCTATTCGTAGCAGCAGGTACGTAAATTCTTGGTTTGGAATCTCACCTTTGATGTTCAGTGTTAGCAATGGAACAAATGTTCCAAGGCACCCAAACATAATTTCGTGCATTGTCCTTATTTCTGTGTTTTTGTGGTCAGGCAGCAACCGGTGTTTCTCATAGACATGCTCTAGCTAGATTTTATGTTTTTAAATAACTGAAATGTTCGTATTGAATGGTTCATCAGCCTAACTGGTTCATTTTAGACTCTACGTCGTCTTGTCCTAACACCTAAAAATTAGATCAATATTCTAGTTATGAGTCTCAGTTCTCTTCTCTTTCTGTCATTCTTGCAAACTTCACTTAAATCTCTTCACTGCCTCAATATCGGACACTGTAAACAAGCTTTCTATATCAGTATTTGTGAGGTCACTCAGCATTCATGCCAGTTATTTTTTATTAGGGTGGTTCCCAAATCCATTTTAGGCAAGATTTACCATTCACCTTTAATTACACCCTAACCACTCATCAATGACTTTCAACAAAGAATTTTGGAAAGCACAGCATCTGTCTTTAACTGCTCAGATAAATTTACGCCGCGAACAGCCTGAAGTATGCATCTCCTCCACCGATCTTACGCTTCAAGCAAGGATTCTGATAAGAGGTGGAGGTTAGGTTTACTCATTTGTATCCGTCAACTTTAAGCAGACCTGAACCGATTCGCAAATCAAGGGATTCTAAAGACTGAAAGCTACAGGGGTCATTTGTAAAGCCAAATTTTCTTTTTTGGTATTTTCTACTCAATTTGGATGTTTCATAGGTGCCTGAAATCAACGGTTTTCATGTTTTTTTTTATTTGTGCCTCAAGTTCTCAACTAAGTACCTAGTCTTGCTTGGGGCGTACACAGAATCTTTTCTGTAGGTTATCATCGTAAGCTGTGAAGCTTACGCCATCAACCTTTGACCTCAGTTCCATCCACTTCTTTTCACTTAATGTCAATTTTTCTGAGGTTCAATGTTACACAATATATGTGAAGGCCAAGGTTCAGTTTCTTCACTTTCTCTTTTACGATCAATCCATCAGTAGTCTTAGTATCTATTTCACCATAGAAATTCTCATGAAGTTTCTATCTATTCTGTTGTGCCTAAAAATTGAATTGCTGTGCAATTTGTATGCACTCACAGAATAGAAGTTCCAATGTAGGTACCTACCAAAACTGAAAAAATAATAAAAAACCTGCAGGCTTCGGCAATTTTTTCTGTAGTGCATACTTTTAACTTTGATTTGTTTATTATGGCTGTATAAAGACCGGAAAACTGAGGGAACTTTTTCCTACAGAGTTTGAAGATACTCTGTGTTTGACACTTCAAGGCACTTTCTAGCTAAAGAATGAAAGGGCATTTAATTTAATTTTGTAAAGTTTTCCAAGGGGGCTTTAAGTTTTGTGTTTATTTCAAGAAAATGGATAGCAAGTTGATTTACGAGTATTTTTAGAGCCTGTTGAATACACGGGCCAGAATGTGGTGATGGAAGGCGAGGGTTTCTCCATCTCGTGTAAGCTGACTCAGTTTGACGCTCTAAAATGGCTCAAAGACAACCAACAAATTGACGAGCTGCAGCATACTATCGCCGATTCAAGAAACCAGTATGTCTTTGAGGACCGTGAAGAAAACGGCCTGATCGTTGCAACTATTTCAGTCAAATCAGCGCTGTCCAATCACTCGGGCACTTACCGCTGCTCATCCCTGTCAAACGAGTCGCATAACCTTTTCGTCCTTGGTGGTAAGAAACTCCAGAGTTGGCACTGGCATAATTTCGAGTGTAGTTTGGAATTTTCTACTGCGTTGAACTTGCAGGCTCTAATCCCAGTAATGCTTCAGTGTCGTCACTACATAGTTTTCAAGGAGTTCACATAGTGATTGATACCATTATACACTGTTTGATGCAATAATCTTTATAGTAGATATTCAATTTTACACATTATTGGGATAAAGTAGGTAACCAGAAAAATATGCAAACCTCGATTATTATGTCTAAAGCATTGATGCTTTTCTTCCCTCTTTTATTTTTAATTTGTTTGGAAAGTGTTAACGTACCAAACATTAAGGTAAATTCTTTGTAGTTCTAATATTTTTAGTCTCTAAGACTGCAAATGTGCAGTATAGTGGTATTCTCGTATTATTATGTTCTTAAAGCTTTTTTTGCAATTTTTTTTTACGGCAGTTTTACCCTCTTTCCTCACAGCACTCTGTAACTCCCTAAATTAATTATGTAACACTTACCTTGATCCCCTTCCAAAGTAAGAGAATAAAACCTCAATTCAAAGTTTGAGTGATGCTTTTAAATAATTTACAGAGCTTTTAATTTTTAAATAGGAAAGGAATGAATGCTCAATTTTAATACTGTTTTTACTTGAAAGGTTTTATAAATAATTTTAGAATGGTTAAAATTTAAAAAAATAATAAAATAAACATATATTAATAATACAATTGTACATATCTCACTGTAACATTTTTGAGGTGAATTTAAAAGAAGAAAGTTTTCTCCCCAGAACTTTACTTAAAAAATTGCTATAATGGTACTTAAACAATTGGCTGAGACTTGACGAAATGAAAACATTCATGGACATGCGCAGTTACTCAGTAGTTTTTTCAGAGATGCTTTTGCTGAATTTTCTCAGGTAGAAAGTGTTTTTCTCTTTAGTGTCAGCATTTCCTTTTATTGTTCCATTCCCTCCCCCAGTAGCTAAGTAGGAACAGTATTTCATGGGAGAGCTCGCTTTCCTATTCTCATATTGTGTACTTTGATTCTGAAACGCAAATTAAGTATAGTAGATAGGTATTACTAGTACCCTACAATTTAGGTAAGCGTATGTATATTTGGTGATGGCATATGTTCTCAAAAAGTGTCCTGTACCGAACTGTTTTTCTTTAGAATCACGATTTTTGCTCAGTTTGATTTTCCATAAGACTTACTTTTCATTGCACTTTTAACTTCGGAAATAAATTTTGTACATTTCTATGCACCGTATCTTAATTATTAGAATAATTAAGTATAAATGTACATATTTTATAGTGTAATGAATATATTAATATTTAAACATATCCTTTGGAACAGTCTTATGATTAAGTGGAACAACTGGTCATGTTTGGAGTTTGATAGGTATGATAGCTCAATATGTAGATATCTTTGTGATACCAATATGTAGATACCTGTGTTTCCAAAAAGAATTTCTGTAAAAAATGTTGAAATATATTCACGCAAAAACTGTCAAGGTAGCAAATTCAGCAATGTTTGAAATCACTGTTGTTGTCTTATTCTAAATTTTGTGAAGTTTTTGCAATCTCACTCATAACTTTCTGATTTTTAGTTTGTTGTGTTGAATTTTTAAAAATCTAATGTGCACTTATTGTTTAACGGTCTTGTCTGTTTTGGTCTGAAATATCTCTCTGTCTGCAGCTCTAATTTTTTTGTACCATGAAAACACCAAAAATAGAGGAATCACCAATTCCCTAGCCGAAAAAGAAATCTTTTTGAGCTCAGTGAGATTCCACATTTCTGGCAAGTGGGTAATTGAAAATTCCTCCGGGAAATAATCAAAATTTGTCATTTCTCCAAGCATCTAGAGTTTTAACGAGCAGCAGAAACTCAAGAAGCTGTTACTAAGTCTTATTGCCTTATCCATGTATAGGCTGCTTGAGTGCTGGGTGTTAAACATTTGTCCTTGTTTTAATTACAATGTAGTATGCACTCATGTGATGTCACTCTTCTTTTCCTATCCACTTAACTAATTAAAGCATACATTAATTTCTCTTACTCCTCATACTGGTTTTCTAAGCTCCGTTTTTATGAAAACGGTTGCCTCTATCCAAATGCAAAGGCTCCTAAAATGCTATTTCTCTTCTGATATTTTTTTGTCCTCTTCTTTTTTTTTTTTTTTTTTTTTTTTTTTTTTTTTTTTTGTGAAAAATTCTAACATTTATGCAAGTATTTCTGAATGGATTTGGGTTTCTTTCTTAGTGGGTCTTTCTAAATATGTGCATTGTGACGACACATCACTACATTTTTTTTTTACTTTACCTATTCTTTTTTCTCATGTTATTACAAAGGTACACTGTCAGCTCATTGTTCAGCCTGTCAGTTTGTCTAGCTTAAATTGTAACCAAAATTTGGTTTTGATGTGTGTTTTATCCGACTGGTCAAATATAGTGAGGGCCTTGTCCTGAGAGGAATTGATTTTTTTATCCAAGTAAAATACCTATCAAAAGCATTTAAAAAAGTATAAAGATGGTCAGCAAATAACTTGCAATGTTCTAAGTTTTACTCGAAGAAATCAAGCTATCACAATATTTTTTCTTTCCTTTTTCAGATAATGAAGTAAAAGGAGAAAAGAAAATGCTGACTTTCAAGCAGGGGACCAACGTAGAACTTGACTGCTCTAAGGACCCTATCGCCAATGGAGTCTATGTTTGGTAAGTTAACCCATGTTGACTACATTGACACACCCGAAAAAATCAATTCATTAATTCTGCTGGAAAAATGGAAAAAAATACTGGAAGAAAAAATTTAAAGTATCACTTTTTTATTTCTTTGTTTTGATCTCTTTTTTTTTCGCATTATCTTATATGAGGAAGAAGATCAGGGAGACAAAAAATCCAAGGATCAGGGAAAGTCAGGAAGAAGAAGGAAGGAATTTATGCCAAAATCCTTTTTAAATGACCACATCTTTATTTCATTGCCACTGAATTGCAATTTGAAGGCAAAGTTGACGCATTGGTGAAATTGGGTCTTGCTGTAAACAACAGTAATCCATTCTTGGCTACTGTGGGGCTTCAATTCTGAAACAGTCTCATGGAGCCATCTAGCATGTGTGGGAAGAATAGAAAATCAATTTCAAGTTTACCTAAATCCGTTTTTCAGGGGGAGATTATCGTGTCATGCTGAGAGTGTTTAGTCATTTTCCAACGGTTCTGGTTTTTAATCATGGTTATTTCACCGTAGTTATTCTACTCAGGTTAGGCAGTAGAATCATTTGTATCAGTGAGTGTCCAAGTGTATCTGAGATATACTTGTGCGAGTCACTAGAGAAGCTAATTTGTAAATTAGATCAAATCAAGAACTTTCAAATAGGTCGTTTGGTTGTATGCGTCATTTAGCCACTGTTACACATGCATCACTTAAAACCTTGTTGAGGTGTGAGTGATAAATGATTGTTGTTGAAGCGTATGTTCGGGGTTGGAAGGTTTTAGAAAAACGTCCGCAGCTTTTGTCTTGGAGTGTCAGTGCTCCTTTAAATCATGGTGTCTAGAACAGAAAAAACCGGGACTCATCAGGGAAAATCAAGGAAAAATCAGGGAATCTGTTCCAGATACCAGGAATCTCTTCCTCTACTGCTTAGAGATCATTTCCTTTTCAAATGAGGCAGTCTTATCCAACCGAGCGCTATTATTGACTTCTTGAAATACACATTTGAAGCTTCAAATCATCCGAAGAATGGAGAGGTTTTCATCGACCAGATAATATAAACATCAGGAACGCCATCAAAATTAAAATTTTGAATGTGCGCCAAAGAAATGGATGAAAGATGAATTAAAATTGATACTCATATTTGGAACTCTGGAGAGTTACATTCTTTCCTCCCAGAAGAGCCTGGGGAAGTGGTTTCTTATCAGGGAATGCGCTCTTAAAAATCAGGGACTGAGCGTGAGCATGCTTAAAAATTCTAGACACCATGTTTCAAATTTATTTATTTTCTTTTTTACCTGATTCTCATGTCCTAATTTTTTATTTTGAAAATTCTCAGGAAAAAAGATGAGCAGACATTGTCTAACAATGAGAAAATCCGCATCGAGATGGGGAAACTGTTCATCACGAAGGGCACCGATGATCAAGCTGGAAACTACACCTGTAATATCAAGCAAGACAACAAGACTGTTTACACCAGGGAATTTGAAGTTACAAGTAAGTTCTGAGTCCTCTCACCTCAGTAGAGAATTTTAATTCGTTTTGCTCAAGTTTGTGTGTCGAATAAAAGAACAACTTAATTTGGGGAAATGCTTCTGGGGTCCAAGGGAATTTTTGAGTTACATGTGATTCCGTCTTCAGCAAATTTTGACTTAGAGAAAAAAATTGAAGAGAGAAGTTTCCTTGACAGAATTCAATTTAGGATTACCTGGTATGAAAAATTGGCAACTTCGACACACAAAATGAAAAACAACTTAATCAGCCAAAATACACATAATAAAAGAACAACTTAATTTGGGGAAAAGGCTGCAAAAAAGAACAAAGGATAAACAAAACCCGGAACGCTTCAAAATAGTTGCAATTTCATTTTCAACCGGAAAATAAATTAAAAATAAAAATAAAAACTAGCCGTCGCTACGCTGTTAATGCGAGACCGAGACTGAGGTTGAGACTCACTAGTTGGTCTTGCATTAACAGCGTAGCAACAGCTCGTTTTTATTTTTATTTTTAATTTATATTTCCGGTTGAAAATGAAATTGTAACTATTTTGAAGCGTTCCGGGTTTTTTTTATTCTTTGTTCTTTTTTGCAGCCTTTTCCCCAAATTAAGTTGTTCTTTTATTATGTGTATTTCGGCTGATTAAGTTGTTTTTCATGTTGTGTGTCGAAGTTGCCAATTTTTCATACCGTGTAATCCTAAATTGAATTCTGTCAAGGAAACTTCTCTCTTCAATTTTTTTCTCTAAGTCAAAATTTGCCAAAGATGAAATCCCGTGTAACTCGAAATTTCCCTCGGTCCCCAAACGCTTCCATATAGGGGTATTCAAACGAATTTTTGCCGAAACTCTATAGGTATCATCTCTTACCGAAACTGGTGGCAGTACTGACAGTGGTGATGATATTGTTAACAGCCCGCCTTATCGGAATTTTGAGAGCTCGCACTCAATGCATTGTTGCCCCGTGTGTCGGTTTGTCAGATCGCCTGGTGCGGTAGCGCGTAAAATAGATGTACAAATGGCAACAGCTTATTTTTGTCAGCTCCAAACTTTTAGATCATTATCGATAAGAGTGCTCTTGTCGTAACTTTTTTTTGACAGAATTGTTTCGGTAGCTTACCGACAAACGATAGAACAGCCCTACTTCCATTAGCGGCAATTTAAGAAACATAGCTTTACACAAGATCGGAGATTTCATACCAAGCAAAAAACTGTTTAAGTCGAAGAAAAAGTTTCAAAAAACGGCTTAAAAATTTCAGAATAAGAATTGAATAATTGAAGAAATTTGCTTAAAAAATCTGTGATGGTTGCCTGCTTGTTGCAATGAATCACGCCATATGGATACTTGATGCCACACTGTCATTTGCAATGGATCATGCCAGATATAATCACTGATTCTAGCATTTGAACACTTGATGTCGCACTATCATTTGAAAGTTAATTTAAGATTATTGAACGTTTATTGAACTGTCTCATTTTGTTTGAAAGTCAGAGAATTGAGAAGTTTTGGAGTCAGGGAAAAGCCAAGTGCCATGACCACCTCAGTCAAGTACTCACCTGCCAAAAATTTTCTAGGATTTTTATTCAAATTCTAATTCTTAGCACTCAATCCAAATTCTCTGAAAAACAGCCTTACGGATTAAAAGTTCCGCTTCTAGGTCTGTGTTTTTCTTGCCCAGTTCCCGAATTAAAATGGCCACATTACAGCTAGGCAAAACTAGAATTGCAAAAAGATGAAAAAGTTATGTAATTTCTCCACTTTTTTCTATTTTTTCAGCAGATATCTATCTTTCAGTGTATTTGTTGAAACTCTCTACTTTCACTCGGTTTTCTATTATTTTTGCTGATCGTTTTTTATTTTGTCTGGTTTTAGCTGAGCCCTATGCCAAACTCCACAAATATGTCAATGTTGTCGAGGAAGAGAAACTAAAAATTGAATGCACCGTGTACGGAAAACCCACGCCTCATGTCCAATGGAAAGTCAGTAAGTTGAAATTCCATCTTCCATGATCATAGTCAATGAATGTAAGATGCAGCTAACCGATAGCTCCTTGTCGACCAGTTCAAGAACCTGTAAGGTATTGATGGTACCCTTTATTTTTCTTCCTTCTTTGACTAGGGACTAAACTCTGTTTATCCTGCCGTCATTGTATCAAGTACGAGGGTCATCCAAAAAGTAAGGTTCCCTACCTTGTATCTTCCAAGCAAAACAAGATAAATCAAATTGGTAAAAAAGCACATATCAAGCATACTCTAAGCTTTAAAACAAGCTCAAGTTTTTGAAAATCGGTCAAAGGATTCGCGAGTAAACTTAATTTTACAGAGACAACCTCCTGTCGCGGCGTGCCCACCTCCGGGGTCAGGATGCACGGAGAGTCGACTATTGAAGACTCGGGTTATGCATCACATCAACAAGGAATTTTAAAGTTTTCATTGAGTAGGTCTTACCTTACTTTTTAACGTAGTCTCCACATCTTTTTTAACATTTCTGGTATCATTACAGCAGCTTCTTGATTCCGTCTGCGTATAAGCTCTCGCATTGGCTCCGAAACCAGTCATTGACAGCGATCTGTACCTCTGAATCAGTTGAAAATCGCTTCCATCGAGGAAGTTTTTCTGCTCGGGAACAAATGAAAGTCACATGAAGCTAAAGTAAGAGAGTTTGAAGGATTGGGGGAAAACTTCCCTACGCAAAGCAACTGATTTGGAAGTGCAGATCGCTGTCAATGATTGGTTTTGGAGTCAAGGCGAAAGCTTCTACACGGAAGGCATCAAGAAGCTGCTGTAATGATACCAGAAATGTTGAAAAAGATGTGGAGACTACGTCAAAAAGTAAGGTAAGGCCTACTCAATGAAAACTTTAAAATTCCTTGTTGATGTGATGCATAAAGGCGATAACCCGAGTCTTCAATAATCGACTCTCTGTGCATACTGACCCCGGAGGTGGGCACGCGGCGACAGGAGGTTGTCTCAGTAACATTAAGTTTACTCGCGAATCCTTTGACCAATTTTCGAAAACTGAAGCTTGTTTTAAAGTTTACTGCTTTTTTACCGATTTGATTTATCTTGTTTTGCTCGGAAGATACAAGGTAGGGAACCTTACTTTTTGGATGACCCTCGTATGTTTAAAAGAAATGAAATTGATGATAATTGATAAATTTACACCAATAGAAAGTAGCAACTTCAACGATGCAGTGCTAAAGCTCATTTAGCTGTAACAGTGAACTTTCTAATGGGTCAGTTGCGCTGGTTACAGAATCTTGTTTTGATGCTTGATTCTTGTAGATTAGCTATAAATAACAAAATCCGTCCAAACAGAAACTTTCTGCCTTCATTATTAACTGAAATATTGAGCATTAAAAAACCTCGGTCCCTGATGTCATCCACCATTGTAGTGATACCCTTGGTTTCTTCCACCTTGCTTCCATCCGAGCTTCACGTCGAGTAACTGGTGCAAATGTGCGTCACACTGACTGATGAAAGCCAGGTGGAAGAAACCAAGGATGTCACTACTGCAGTGGATGACGTCATTGAGCGAATTTTCAAAGGACAATATCTTGGTTAATATTGAACGTAGGAAGTAGCTTCTTGAACAGATCTTATCTAGCCTACAAAAATCAAGCATCAGAACACGATTCTGCAACAAGCGCAACGGACTCATTTTCCATTGCTCTTCTTTAAAACAATACTTGCTCACTTTTTTGCTTTGATATCCTCAGATGACACATTGTACCCTGCATCCTCTGGCCGTGTGAACCTGTTGGAAGACACAGAGCGAAAAGTGCCCAATGCTGTACTCATTTTGGACTCGGCTGTCAGAGGCGACAAAGGCCAATATTCATGCATCGCAATCAACCCTAAGAACCAGCTGAATATGACCGCAGATATCACCGTCTATGTTAAAGGTAATGTAAATTGATTGGCAGAAGGATTGTATCAATTTCTAGTTGATACATGAAACTGAAAATTGGAGGAGCTGTTATGCATTTTGATGGCTAAAGTGCGAATCCACATATCTCTTATTGCAACGAGGCAAACTTCTTATCATGCTTTATTTTTTCTTTTGAAATTTAATCAACATAATTTCTGGTAAACTGCCTTAATTTTTCTGCTCTGTTACCGGAATACTTTGCAATAATTTCAAGTCATACAGTTGGCTTGTTTCTTTTTGAATAATAAAATAAGAGTGCAAATTTTGAAACACAACAATGGGAATATGTTGTTTTATACTTCAGCTATCGATTCACAGGTTTTTTTTCTGTGGATGCTAGTAAACTAAGCACTTTTGACTGTGTTTAATAAACTGTGTTTTTTTGTGCACTATCCTCGTTTTTCTGACTGTACAACTTCTCTGGAGTGTCTCTACGTCTAGAAAACTGGATATCGTCAGGGAATTGCAGCAGGTCACAGAAATCAGGAGAAGGACAAAAAAATTCAATAAAAAAGACTGGCAAAATCTTGAAACTTGAATGCTGAACTGTATTAGCGCCCTCCGTTTGAGTTACTACTCTCTGTTTAAGTGAATAGAGGACAAATGTTCAAATTAGAATTGACATTCTAGTTAGTTGAATGACTAATACCTTTAGAAACAAGGTGTACATGTTTCTGTCTTTTGCAGTAAAATTAATGCCAAGTATTTTTCATATTCACTTTTGTGCATGCAATTGTCTGTGAAAAAGCGGGGAAAACTTGGAAAAGTCAAATATTTTTTTGCCGCCAGTCCTATAGACTCCTTGTTGCATTTATCGTATGATTCACTGCTGTAGGATTTTGAACACTCGTTCCTTCAGACTTAGATAATTAATTTTTTTTTGTTTTTCCAGGTAAATTTGATGCATTGTGGCCATTCTTGGGCATCGTAGCTGAAGTGGTTATACTGTGTGCTATCATTCTGATTTACGAAAAGAAACGCAACAACAATGCTGAGTTGGAAGAAAGTGACACCGACCAAAGCCCAGACCAGTAAGTCACTGTATTTCAAACTGTTCTCGAATAAACAGAGTGGCATGAAACGAAGGAAAGAAATGAAAGATTGGAAATTTCAGTGAAATGTTTCATTCAACTTTATGAGGCTGTGAAATATTTCATATTTTTTAGGAGCTAAAGTATGCAATCCGCACTGAAACACACAAAAATATAGGAAAGTCACAATTTTTACATTTTGCAAAACATGAATAGGAACCGGTATTTTTCAAAATCTTTCATACATTTTTAAAATTTCATGAAATATTTCCCATGGAATTTCAAGATTTTATTTTTCATGAAATTTTGCCATTCTGCGAATAAAAGAATGTTCTGTACAAAACTTTGAATGCATATATCATATAGAAGGGTATGATTTATGGGTTTCCGAAGAAGAGAACCAATATTTGTGTATTTGCTTTTTGGTTCACCGATAAAAGCACTTTCATGAATCTTATCAAATGTGACAGTTGTATGAAACTAAATTATGCACTTACACAAAATATATTTTTCTTGAGGTTTGAATTTGCAGCATACAAATTGTGTAGGTATGGCAAATTTGCAGTGTTAATGAATTCTGGAGAGCCTCTAAAATTTATCCATGTAATTTTTAAATGGACCACGTTAAGCAGGAAAGAACCAGGCCACATCAGTTATTGCAAAATTGGGCAATTTAATCTTTTACATGAAAACGGTTTTGCGGATTTTTTTGCAAATTTCAGTGAATTTTCTGTAGAGACGAAAGGAATTACTTTTTTCAAAGAAATTCGCGCAACCCTTTTAAAAAATTAAATTGCCCAGTTAAATTTGGCAATGGCTGATGTGGCTTGATATCTTTCTGCTAAACGCAGTCCAAATGCCCCTAAAAAATTCGTAAACGTTCTTGATTCTTTCAGTCAGTAAATATTTTATTTTGATTTCGAAAAGCTATTATGAGCTTTTACTTTTAACTGCCACCAAAAATCGCACATTTCTTGAACATTCATTTAGCTTAACCACCCGTTTTCGGAAATGTTCCTTAACTTGGTCTCTACCTCTTTTTTTTCTGTTCTCTCTCATCATGTTATGTTGTTCTTTTTTCAGAAAAAACACGCCTGATCACGGAAAGGACTCAGTGAGGCACAGAAAGTAATTTCGCAGCCACTTTTGACAAATTTTCTCTTCATCCTATCATCATGCTTTTTGACTCATTTTTTTTCAATTAAAAGACGGGCTGCAAAGGACTCATTTCCTCTCTCGTAAGTATTAAGATATGGTAGAGCAGCATTTGGATTGTTACATCTTCCAAATTCATCTTCATCAAGATTTCCTCCTTTTAAATCGTCCTGTAAATAAAGTTTTGTAAAAATGGCTAGCAAAGAAAGAAAGAACTAGTAAAACTGAGCAACCATCTATTAACAGGATGTCTGCTGTATGGAAAAAGTATGAATACACCAAAAAGCACGGATTTCAGAAGGTCGGTATGGGTGTACCGAAAAGTTAGGATTTTCAGTGAAAAGGTACGGAAATCTAAGATTTTTGTGACACACTCTAGAAAGTAGGCTTGGGAGTATGCGATTTCCTAACATAATCCATTTATCAACATCCTGATTCGATTCCTCATGTTTTTTGGTTTATTCCCTCGTAATTCCATCATTCCACTTTCCCAAGCCGAATATAGTCAAAAATGCTTGCAAGGTAAAGTAAAAGCAAGGATTTTTGAGAATCGTCAAAAAAAAAAAATTATCGGGAAAGCAAGGATTAGGCACTGAAAAAGCAAGAAATTTGAATGTCAGGGTACTGATAGACACCCTGTATTAACCTTTTGTTACCATGGACGCCATGTATTCAACGTTGCATTTCAGAATTGTGTGCAGTTCAGCTTCCTTTCTTTTCTCCTCTGTAATTTTTATTGTTGTCGCTTGTATAAGAATTGATTTATTTTGTTGACTGTCTTCTGTTGACTAAACTATGTTTTCAAATGCCTCATAATATCTTTTTATTTTTTCAGCTCTAAAACTTCTGGAGACCTATAGTTAGCCAGAAACTTGCGTTTTCTACACATCCCATGGACGATTTTTCACTTACGCCATCCCTTCCGCGATCTTCACCCTCAGTCACTTGTTACTTGTTTTTGGTTTATTGTGTGTGTCCTCTTGTGCTAGCGCCGCTAAGTTGTTACGTTTCGTTGTTGACATTAGTTTGTGCACTTAAAAATTTATTTTCTAAGCGTTGAATTTTGTTGAGCTGATCGCAAATCGGTGAACAGTGCACAGGCATGGCAGTCAGTATCCTTCACCTCAATATTAATCAAAGAAATCAGTGATACTCCTGTTTTTCTGTAAGCTTATGAGATTCATGCAAAATTCATATTTTACAAATTTGTCCCGTATTCACATCTTTTAGTTAACCACTCAGATTTCTTAAGCCTTAAAGTTTAGATGGAGCAACTCTTATTTGTCTACCTTTGGCCATGGACCAAAGCTGTTATTAAAGCTCTGCTGCAAAATTCTAGAAATATTTGTAAAAGGATATTTTCCTCTATATCAGGAAACAGGCCCAACAAATTGAATGTGCGCTTACTCCTCCAACATACAGCATTGTGGTTATAGACCAATTATTCTGATTCCAAGATAAGATGGGTTACCAAGCCAAAATGTAGCTGCAAAACAGTTTTGGAAAAGATACTTTTCACTTGCGTTCCTCCTTCATTCATAAGTTTTCTGCCTGTGGCTCTTCACCAATTTGTAGTTAGCTGTAATATGATTCAGAGGCGAGTGATGTTGATCTGATCTGATCACAATGACCGTTAAGTATTCACCAGTCGTAGAATCTAAGGATTGTTAGGTAGATTTTAAGGCATAGCTCTATTATTAACTTACTTAGTATCTAGCCAGGATATGTAAAGCGCAAAAATTAGGTTATTTCATTACCACTGTTTGCCTGAAATGAGTTTTTTGGAGGGGTAAGTCAGAGAATTTACCCCTGTGAAGTGCAGCGGGTTCCTGTTTTCAACAGTTCCCAGTGATGTAAAATGGCCTCGACGCTTGCCAACTTTAGTCCTGCCTTTGACTCTTGACAGCTCTTCGGAGCCCTCACTCGAGTCTTTGCTTAGTCAAGTCTGATATTTTATTTAATTTTGTCTTTCTTTAAAGTCCCTTCATTTAAATCAGACCAAATTGGTCCAGGCGTAGAGATATCAAAGTTTTCGCTCTGGTTGGGCTTTATTGTTGTGCTAAAGAAAAACGCTGCATGAACATTCGTGTGTTGCCACATTTTTCCTGATAAAATATTTATTTTTGAGGGAAGTCATAAATATTTTCCTTGAAATTTTCAGGAATGTTAGATCAAATTGAAAGTGGAATCCTGAAAAAAATTCAGCAGAACAAATCCATAAGTTTTCCGGAAAATTTGTCTTTTATTTGTATAAATTTGGTAATCTTCAAACGCTCATATGGCGTTTTTCCTTAGCTTTGCAGCACTACTTCCACTCTAATATTGGATAACTTGTATGCTTGCCTAGAATTTTGCTATTTGACACAATTTTTAAGTTTACTTGACACAAACATGATATTTGTTTGGTCATCGAATCATTGAATCGAGTTTTATAACATTGCATCGTTGCCTTTTTTATTTTAATTTTTTCCATTAAGAAGGTTTTCGTTTTCTTCACATTTAATTTTCTTGAAACTATGCTGTGACGTTCTGATGCAGGTTCCATCCTCTAAAATAAAAATTAAGATTTTTAGATGGACCTCATTGGGTTACTAAATGAAAATGGAATAAGTATGGCACTAGAACTTTTTAATTCTAGTAACACAGCTGAGAGTTTTTTTCTTATTTTTAAGAAAAGGTATCCCAAGCATTAGAGTAAGAAACTGGAAATAGTAAGAACTTGTGATGAAAAAAAATTAAAAGTTAATAAATGATGCAACCCACATAGATGTTGCTTCCACTGGATAGAATCACAAAATTTCACTCCAACTCAGAACAGATGGGAGAAGCTAATCAGTTTCCGTCATTTAAAGCGTGCGAGTTCTTTTCAATCATATTAAACATCTCATTCTTTCCATTAATTTACACAATTAATCATTTTTTGCTGACTTCGTTATTGTTTTAGTATCATCACAAGACAAGACTTTTTTCCTGAAAAAAAAAAAAAAAAAAATAGAAATTTCAAAACTTGAAGGCACACCCTGCTGAAGCATGCACCAATCAGGATTTATAAGAACCCAGATTAGTGCAAAGCCTCCACAAGGTTTTTCAAGACAAGAACCACCAAAGCTAGGCTAACTTAACGTAATGGTTCTCTCCACAGTCTTCAAATTATCCAAGATTTGAAAGTGCCTATTATAAGCTCATACTTTATCTAGTATAAGTTCATAGCAATTGTTCTCTAGACTTGGCTTTGAATGGTTATCCTCATCAAGTCTAAGATAAGCTTTACTCTTTTTCATACGACAGTGTCTTGTAAAGTACTTTAGCTGCACTTGTGTAAATATCCCCAGCATTGTTTAGTTGTAGTTACTAAAGTTAAGTTTTTAACCCAAAAATTAAGCGTAAATATTTGAGTTTAATTAGGAATTACATCAATGCACACTTACTTTTCTATGAAGGACGTATGTTACCTGGTTTTAATACATTGAACTTTTCGACGGTCATGGCACTTAATCACTGCCCATCAGAATGTTTCGTCATGAACAACATTCAGAAAGTTGTTGTGCCAGCACCGATTTGCAAAGAAAGTGAAACGAAGGTATACTCTTTCCCTGTTCAAGCATCAAATATCGACAAAGCGCTCAGTTGCGTTGGCATTGAGCACTTTTTTTTATTATTCTACTTGCCGCCTCACTCATGCCGTCAAATCTGATCTAATTGGAATTCGTTTTTCAAACTTAATGCTAAGATTAAAATGGCACCAACACAACTGCGGGTGGTCTAGTGCAAGAGCATATCCTCGTTTCACTTTCTTTGATGGATGTGTATTCTTTTTTTAATTTTTTTTTCTCTCAAAGCAATCCAAGATGACTTACAAACAGTCATAGAGCTTGTAGTTTCATGTCATCTTCTTGAATTTCGAGGTTCCTTAAGCTATGAACAATTTACTGGTTCATACTCATCGTTAGCAGAATTGGCAGGTCGAATTTAAATTAAAATTTATGGATTGACACAAGAGTAAACCGCAGCCTATTGTTTTGAAGTTGCTCAGGTAACAGAACTTAGCATCTGTCCGCTCATGTGTGAATTCATGCATTTGATCAGAATTTAGCCTGGCAATTTAGCTGCCGGCGAGTATAGTTATAGAACCTTTAGGTCATAGAAGTCACATTGAATAAAATATGTATTTAAACAGCGGGAAAGGGTGACAGCTTGAATGTCATTGAATTGTTAAATTTTTTGTACTTAATGCCTCTGAAGAGGTTTCGTGCACTTAATTATTCTTGCATTTACATGACTATTTTTAGCCGGAAAGCATGTGTGCCTAATTTGACTCAGTTCATGGGCATCAAAGTTAAATTACAAGAGTCATAAGGATAATTCCATGTAGCCATAGCTCAGGAACTAAAAATGATAAATTAAATCTGTAAACAGTTCAGGTTCTATCTCTGAAAACTTGGAGTTTCCGGAAAGTTCTGGATCTAAAAAATCAGGGACTCGTTACATATTCTATTTATTATTTTTATTTCCTGAGATGTGGACTACATAAATCCAATTTTTCAAATGGCCCTTGTAATTAGTGTTCATTTTGTTCAAAGATATTGTTGGCCCTTTTTCAGACAATTGTGTCCTATTTGCAGATCGCACTTTAATCAGCTGAGCACGGTACCTATGGAAGGTACGGCGCCATTGCAAGAATTTGAAGGAGAGCTTTTCTGAAACTGGGTCAATTATTTGTCTCTCCAAAATGAGCATTGCAAAGTGCGAAGGTGCTTGGGGTCTTATCTAAAGTATATAAGTCCCTTTCTAAATGATCAAATTGTTTTTAATTTTACACAAATATTGAAAAATCTGTTGATACCTTTTTCTCTTAGAGTTCAGATTCATTGTCATCATTTTATCTCAGCAAAGGTCTAGCTGGCAGATAAAATTGGGAATTCCCTTTGGATTTCCTAACGTTCGATTACGAGATATTCTCTTCGTATAAATAGTGTACTTTTAACATTATTCGTTCAAAAGTAATTTTTCAAAAAAGCTTCTCAAGAAGTGTGAAAACATTTAATTACATAATTTATCATCTGTAAATATATTCTTGTTACACTGTTGAAACATCCATGCTTGTAATTTTTGATTGTCAAATTATAATAAAAATTAATTATCTTAATTTCTGCATATCTTCTAATTTACATGAAAATCTTTAAGTAGGTGGCAAGAATCAGATGCAAAGAGTTTAATCCTTTGAAATTCTAGCAAAATTTTTAACATCTTTTTTTCTTCTCTTTTCTGTTGAAACAAATTTTATCAAGAATATCATAACTACTACAAGAACTCCATGCTTTTTATCCATCTACATGAATGAAATTTATGAAGGTATCAAGAAACAACGTAACATTAGAGATTAAAGATTATCTAGAACATCAGGAATTTCGGAATTTTCTTTCTTATGATGAAAGCAGGTCTCTCGAGGTACTTATCAATCATAAATCTTTCTGACTTGGAGTGAGTTTAAAGTGGTTTCATGTATACACATTAGGTGCCTAGTATTAAAACCTGCTATCTCCACTCCGCTGTCGAAAAATTTGTCACGTTTTGATTTTCCATAGATTGTAACTGGTATGACTTCCTCCGTAAAGTACTGTCATAATTGTCTCACTAATATTAAGAAAATTCTTGAACGAGTTTTCAAACAGAGGCTTACCAGATCTCTAGCTGTAACAAATGAAAACATCTGCCACATTTTATGGATAGACGAATGGAGGTGGGAGCTTTTGATCATCTGGACCTTACAGACAATCATGTTTGCTTTACACCATTCCCTGATGCTTTATGACACCAAACCGCCGCTACCCTAATAAATCATAACCCCTTGCGTAAAAAACACGTATGACTTTGCTAAAGTTCGTAACCTGTTCTCTGGGTCAATGATTTGCCTTCAATTAGCCGGCTATGCAAAATGACTGTCGTGACGCACGAATAGTGGTATCAGATTTTCGCATTAAGATTACCCAGGGGGTTGAAGGCACTTTTCTGTGTCTCATCGGAGTGGCCCTGTAAAATGATGTTTACCAAATTTTTTTTCTAATTTCGGAGTCTTCAATCAGGCCATAATTTTGGTAAATGTTCGAGGAACAATTTTTTTGTTTGCATCTTAAGATTTTTTTTGTCTGTAAGTCTTATTTCAAGGATTTCCAAAGACAACAAGAAGAGGATTTATAACTCGGTTGTCAAGCCTATTATCACCTATGGCAGTGAAGTGTGGCAGTTGAAGAAGCGGACCCAAGAAATGCTCAAGGCGACCGAGATGGATTTCTGGCGAAGATCGGCTGGAATCTCGAGGAGAGAACGTGTCAGGAATGAACGTGTCCGAGAGATAATGGGCGTTGAGGGGACGATTGTGCACGATATCATGACCAAGCAATTGGTATGGTATGGGCATGTGCAGAGAATGGCTGATACCAGGTTGCCGAAGAAGGTGTTGGAGTGGGTCCCCCCAGGTAGGCGACGGAGAGGGCGTCCAGCCAAACGGTGGGTAGAGGGCATCCATGAAGAGATGGAGAGATGCCAGCTTCCGGAGGATCTCTACCATGACAGATTCCTGTGGAGAATAGGCGTCGCAGAGCGCCCTAGCGCGCCGTAAAAGCGGCTCATACATACATACAAGTCTTATTTCAAAAAAGAGAGCCCAAACGCTCGGTTTAGATTGTGGTTTTTAAATCTTCTTGCTTTGGTCATTGTATTCTCATGCAAAACTGAGAAGTTGCCGATTGTAAAATCGCAACTTAGGTACTCAACAGTGGTTTTGAATTCAATAAGTTTCGCATGGATAAAATGAGCTTTCGTCGATGAACTGTTAAAAAAGCAAAATTGAAGATAAGATAGTTCGTACTTCGTCCACTTGTCCATTTGAATTGCGTAGAGCGTGAATGGATGGAGCACGGTCGTCCTCTGGGTCTCTACGGGCACTATGTAACGTATATTGATGGCCGTAGGTTTCTTACGGTATATATGCCGAATTGTTGGAGGGAAAAATAGAGAAAAAGTATTACCTACATAGTGTTTTGAGGGTCGAAGCAGAGACAATATATTCTAGAGACTCCGCACTGTTTTCGTGCATTTCGACGGTGTGAGTCGGCATCACATAACTCGGTCTGCGACGTCGCAGACTTCCTGTCATACTTTATTTTTTAAACTCTTCACCGTGCGAAGAAAATTGTGCACAAACTTGAGGGAATGATGTCAATTTGTTCTCCTTTAAAAAAATAACATAAAAGCGAAGATTTTCAGACACCGCAAACAAGATAATATGTGATTGCGGACTTACGCCGTCGATGTGATCCATAAGTCACTCAAGTAAGCCAATTCTCTGACTCACTTACTCATGACTCGAGAGGTCCGATTTTCCGGTCCGAAAAGCTCCACAAGTCTGTTGGATCATGATCGATGAATTTACGAGTAGTAGCATCATGCGGCTGGTCGAAAAAGCTCCAGAGACGCTGATCGCGCCATCGGCGAAAAACGCATCTTTGATTAACTCCCAGAAATAACCTAAGGATCAAAAATACTAGTTTTGTAGTCCAAGCGCCTTGTCGGCCTTGTAGCTAAAAATGAAGCTACCTGGAATTTCGGGTACACAGCGATTTTTTTGACTTACATTACGTTTTTTGGGTTGCTGAATCCGAATATGAAGTTTTTGCGGAATAATTAAAAATTAAGAAGCAGGAGTAATTTAACTGAATAAAAGGTACTCAAATCAAAAATATAATGCAAAACAATTTGAAAAATCCCGTCATGTAAATACAAAAGATTCGAAAACGCCTTCAATTGAGGCGTGATACCTCACGCGTTCCGGAGAGTTCAAATAGTCGTATCCCTGCGCCTTAGCAAGGCGATGGAAGCTGAATATTAAAGTAATAGTGCAGGCGCCTGGTAGCTAAAAATGAGGCTACCTGGAATTTCGGGTACACATCGATTTTTTTGGCTTACTTCATGTTTTTTGGGTAGCTGAATCCGAATATGAAGTTTTCTACCGCGTATCCCGTGAGCATTTTTCGCCATATATTGAAAAAATTGCTTAAAAAGGCCCTTTTTTGCGGTTTTTTGGACATAGCGGCTACGCATGAGAAAAAGTCCCGGATTTAGTTAATGTTTTGAATCGCTGACATAATTTGGAAGAAAATGGTGTCTACATATGCTAGGTTTCCTTAAAAATTGAGGAAGATACAGCATCGTGAACATCGCGCCCATTCACGTTTTCGCGGCGCACCCGTCAACGCGCGATCCGGCTCGCTGCGGTCAGCCAAGTTCCGAAGCGTTTCAAAGTTCCGAGATACGAGGTTCCTCAATTTTTGAGCAATCCTAGCATATTCATACACCATTTTCTTCCAAATTATGTCAGCTATTCAAAACATTAACCAAATCCGGGACTTTTTCTCATGCGTGGCCGCTATATAAAAAAACCGCAAAAAAAAGCCTTTTTAGGCAATTTTTTCAATATGGCGAAAAATGCTCACCAGATACGCGGTAGGAAACTTCAGATTCGGATTCAGCGACCCAAAAAACATAAAGTAAGCCGAAAAAATCGCTGTGTACCCAAAATTCCAATTAGACTTACGAACCGCCTGGACTATTAAGAGTTTCTCGGCTTAAGACGCCGCAGAGAGCCTCATCTGGACCGGGCGCATTGATTCTACACCTTGAACTACGCGGGGTTGGACATCCATCTCGAAGTTGTAATTCCTGACGTAGTTCCATGGACTAAATTTCCGAGGTTGAAATCGAAAGTTCTCCGATCGGACTAAAACCGACCACCTCCCCTTGGAAATCACGCGAGGGCGTATAAATTTCAAGCTTTGAAGTTGACTTGTTTCTCTCCACGGAAAAAATTAAATTGCTGATTTAACAATTAAATCGCTAAAAGAAAAGTGACTGAAATGTTTCAATGTAAATTTAACAACAAAAAAATGCCACTTTAACAAACCCCGTGGTTAAGTAAATTAGCTCACAATAGTGGTTAAAGAGGCATTTTTTTGTTGTAAAATCTACATTGAAACATTGCAGTCACTTTTTTTTAGCAATTTAATTGTTAAATCAGCAATTTAATTTTTTTCGTGTTCGAAAAAATGAAATACGAATGGGAATATCGAAACATTTCAATACCTAGGTACGTAGAGTCGCACATTAGTCAGCAATTTAAAAAAGTTTTGGGCACCTAAGGGTCACCGATGTTAAAATAAATACTATAAATACTTGTTTTTCCCCAAGAGATTTAATCGACGTTTATAAGGGTAACAACTTTGGGTCTAAAAAATCCACGAGATCAGGAACATCAGGTGTTACATAACATCATTTTCAGTGATGAGGTCTCCAAAATTAGTCCAAACGTATCCCCAGCGTTGGGGCAAACCCTGCGGATCCAGGGGCAAGTTTCCAGGGGGCACTGCCGTCTCGTTCACCTTTCGTAAAAGGTCGAGTAAATCCCTCAACAGCTCAGGCTCTCTGAAAGGACAAATAGAAAAGGTATCATTTGAGAGCCAAGTGTCTTCGGTGTTTACGAACCGAAAAGGAGAAGGAAGAAACGACACAAATGAGGAGTTCCGGGCATTACACCACGATGTCATTTCGCCTTCAATTATCGAGGTAGGCAAAAACGCATCCTCCGCACTACAATTGGATTGCATTTTGCAAAAAAGAACCACTAGCATTGCAATGTTGCTAAGATTGTGCAACTTCTTTTGTCTTGGAGGAAAAACCCGATTATCCATTAATAGTTTCCATTTTACTCGCTAAAAACTGTAAATTTAAGACAAAAATTACCATCTAAATTTCATAGTTTTTCACGATTTCAGCAATTTTACTGCAAAAGATGAAGTTGCACAATCTTAGCATCATTGCAATGCTAGTGGTTCCTTTTTGCCAAATGCAATCCAATCGTTAGCTGTTCTAGGATCTGTGTCTTTTCGTGTTTTCATCATGAACTAATCCTTGAATCATTTTGTAAAACGCCGAGATAAGTTAGTAAATAATTATTCCATTTTATATCACAAGTTTGTGATTTTCCTCAATTTTTAGATAGACAATCCAATTATGCAACTAAAAATTCTGTGTAAGATGGTCGATATCGTCTCCAAATTCTTATTTCCGTTTATATTCATATTTTACAAACATTTCAGCTTTATAACATTCAGCATCCATCTCGAATTGCTTAATTTTTCATTTTTTTTCTTTTCTTTTCTTTTTGTTTTGACAAATTCGACGAGGGATAATATACTATTGAAAATCTATGATAATTTTTTTTAAAAACATGCGAAACTTGGTACCTACATCTTCAAAATGTATCTATTTTTGCGCAGGCGTTTGACAAAAAACCTGGGTTCACCGTGCTACGGCCGAAAATCTTTCCTAAGAATAATAATTTGTATATAACTCCATCTTGAAAAATTTGATGCTAGGCTCTTTTTTCTCCATTAGGGTGTTTATAATTGATTGTGAACACATACCGATGGCCAAAATGCGAAGCCACGTATCTCTGTTTGCGACGTAGCAGAATTCCTGTCATACGCACTTTATTTTTTTTTTTGGAAAACTATGGTCATCGTAATTTCTTGAATACCTTTCTGAGTTTCCCTTTCTACCAGTAGAATATTCTGTATCAATTTCAAGCTTCAAAGTTGCCTTGTTTCTCTTTGAAAAAAAATAGGAACGGAAATTTTGAACGTTGCAATGGAAATACGTGATTTTGCACTGTGGCCATCGATAAGACATTTAGTAACAATTTATTTCCAAATCTTTCTGGGTACAGGATATCAGTGATTTCGCAGTTAGTGTGCAGAAATCTCATTGCAAGGCTCCTTTACTGAGGTTGTTTGCAAAATGGGGAATATATACTTCGTTACTTTCTGGCCAAGGTATCACAAGCACCGTGTGACGTTTCAAAATTTCCATCGCCCTTTTATTTTTTACAGAGACATTTTTCAACGAAGCTGCCCAAAAAATCCACTGAATTTTCTTTGTACTATGCCGATATGATTCAGTGAAATCTTCAAACAGATTCAACCAAAAGCCTCTATGTAAAAAATAAAATGGCGGTGGAAATTTTGAAACGTTGTATGGCGCTTGTGTGGCCGCAAGATGACGAATTGGATTACATTTTTCAATAAGAAACCACTATCTCTGGCTCTTCTATGAAAGCATACATCTGCATAGGGAAACCAATGGTATGTATGTTGTTTCTAAAATGGGCCAGAAATAGTGGTTCCTTATTGCAAAATGTGATCCAATTATAGTGCGCAGGCATTTGATTGTAAGGCTCCTTAACTAAGGCTTTTTGCGAAATAGGGACTGTGTACTTTTCCGTTTGATTCTGTTCTAATATTCGTTCTTTTTTCTTCTTCTTTTTTTTTACAAATAAGGAACGGCGAGTATGATGTCAATAGTGTGAGAAAGGAGACTCACCTTTCTGCGAGGTTATATCTCTCACATGGATCCTCCTCGATATTGAACAAACACGGTTTCTTGAGGGGGAAGCAAGGAGCACTGTCGTTACTGGACCGGTGCGAACAGACTACCTCAGACTCTCGTCTCAAATTCGAGATCTAAAACACAAGGGTGAATTCGTCAGCTGCAATTAAGTATCTACTGTACACATGGTGTTCGGCAACTAATTCACTATACTCCACTTCTCCATACAAAAAATAAAATGAAGGAATAATAAGAAACGCAAATCACAATTAAGTATCATTAACCTCAGAATTTGACAAGCAATTCAATTGTGTAACGGAGCAAAAATTGAGGGAACTTACAAAAAAATAGTCTCTTGCAAGGGGCTTCCTCGTAAGAATTTCTGTCGAGGTCCTGGAAAATAAAGGCGATTCAAAAGTATTTTAGGGCTACAGAAGCTAAATCACCAGTAGTAAATTCCGTCATATTATTATGAAAAGAAATTGACTTCATATTTTAATGCCTGAGTTTCCTACATACAATTATGTCAAGCGCTTGAACACTTATACTATCAATTTTAGCCATGTGTTAATTTCCTGAGAGCCGATAATTGTTCGAATTTCTCAAAGAACCCTCAAAAAATGGCTTCCTTTTTAGGCAGCCGATTCGGCCATCGAAGCGCCCCCCCCCCCTCTATAGAAAGAAAGGAAGGTACCTGTTCTGGTGTAGGAGCTCTGTGAATTTTTTTCAGGGCTCTGCCAGCGTGACTATTTAAAATGAGATCAATATCATAGTGATGCAGATTTCTTCCGGAGGGACCATACCAGCCGTCCCATTTGCCTTCGTAATTTGTCCCTGGAAAGTTGAGAATTTTTTTTTTTTTTTTTGTAACACAGGCATAATAAACAAGCGATTCGATCTATGTATTAATGTGAACTCAAGGTTGAAAAGTTGTAATATTAACGTGAGTTTAAAGCAAAGACATTGAATAGTTTAAAGATTTGCCTTTAGTTTTGCGGTAGGCAAACTTCCTTAGGCGAGCGGCAATTGAGGTTACTGAAAAAAGATACTTCATTACTTACGAGGATTATTTCAGGTTATAGGACATTTCGACAACGATTTTTTGTTCACGCACCTGTTTTTGTAGCAGTTTACGTCCACGCGTTTTTTCGGCAGGGGAGTTTTGGTCCACTCACCAATAGAGACCCAAAGGTAATAAATCCACATGTGGATACGTGAAAGTCCTAGTGTATGTATTCTAGAACGTTTAGCATGATTTTTGAACTTCATAAGAGGAAAAAGTGACTTGATTCAAGCAGATCTAAGCTCGAATTTACCGCCGAGAGAATTTCCTCTTGAATCAATAAAGAAAATAATGTTTGTTTGAGAAAAGATGCTTACATGAAAAGAAAAATCACTCACATCAAACAGAAACCCGCTTTCATTCAGCTACTTTTGTCTTGATTTAAAATAAATTCTTCTTGACTGCATACGCAAGAATGTTTCTGCTTAGATTGAGTTACTTTTTTCTCTAATGACATTCAAAAATTATGCTGAACGTTATTAAATACTTACTGAGTTTTTGGACTACCGCTCTCTTTTTGTGCCGGAGTATCTTGATTTATTTTGCGAGGGAAACTCCGTACTCTTAAAGGATGCCTGTCATCCTTAACATGCTGGAGCGCCTTCAATTTCGTATGATACTGTGCAACACCTCTGTTGTGAAATAGTTGCTTAAGGCGCCGCGGCACGCTGCGGCTCGGCGCGGCGGGAGGGCGGTCAACGCGCACCGTGCATTGGCGCCTACAAACCTAAGTGGATACTTCAAGCACTGCGCAATGCGTGAAGTATCTACTTAGGTTTGTAGGCCGTTCCGCTCTGTGTTCGGCTCTAATACCTAAACTCGCGGAGTTAGCATTTTTCAACTCGTGATTTTAACATTTTTGCACACTCTGCGTGGATTATTCCCATTTAAATAGATGGAAAAAAATATTTAAAGGAAAATATAATGTGTGTTTTGTAAATATTCAGGTGGTTCCGTGTCAAATGACTTACAAAGCATTTTAATTTTTTCTTTTATATTTTGTGCTTTTACTGTGCTGCAGCGTGGTGCACTCGTAACCAAACGCTTAAATTGGACGCATTTGACTTTAAAAGGACGATGTAAAAATACCAATGATTGCAAGCTTCTTGGTTTTTTTCCTCTTTTATTAATTTTTGTACAGTTTCTTTCAACAACGCTTCGGCTAAATGATATTAATATCGATCCCATCTCTTAGAAAGTACTTGCCACGTTTTAAAAATGTAATTGTTTTTAAAATGAAGTAATCAATTTCATTAAAAAAAAGGTGTATGTAAGGTATACTTCATATCAAAAAATTTAAGGATAGAAATAAAAGCAAATATTCACCAATGACAATTTGAAAAGATGAATCAAAAGGAGAAAGTAACATTTCATTTAAACAATTAATCACCATAACAACACCTTCTTTTCTTTCAATTTTCTCATTTCGATAGTCTCAATAATATGATTTTACATACGGACTAAAATATAATGCTTGGACCAAGCCACAGTTGCTTATTTTACGCGTAGACGTAAACTACCTACTGGACAAAACAGGTGCGCGGACAAAAAATCGTTGACGAAATGTCCCGGAGCCTTGGTTCTTGTAAAATTTTCAAAATATTTCATTGAATTCGCATGAAAAATTGAAAAATTCACATAACAATTTCAAACGTAAGCAAACACACCCCAGCATGTGAATGCCATGACAAGTTTCATTTATATGAATGAAATACAATCATTATCACTATTTTTTTTTAATGATACAGTGAAGAGCTCTTGCGACCATTAAAATTATGAAACGTTAGACTTCTCGTGACATCTTGATACCTTTACGTTTGTATCTTTCATGGTTTTATGTTTATCACGCTTCTTTAAGTGATCTAAGCGCTCGAATTTAACAAAAATAAAACTCAAATTTCTTAATGCAACGCAAACCTCTGCGACAGTTTTATCAACACTGTTATCTGTATGCTTGTAACGCATGCGGTTGAAAATGTTCACCTACCTTTGACGAGCTTCCACTGGCCAAAGCGAATGGCTGAACTTTTGTAGATGTCATCAATGTTATGGATGAGCAACGTCCTGTTCACCGAGTCATCCTCGCTTACCAACGAACTCCACACATCCTGCCCATCTATCCCATCAATGTCGCTGCTCGACAACCAACAGAAAAATTAGCGTATCACGATATCTAGGATCAGAGTTTGTCATATTCTACATGAAAATAGATCTAAGCTTATCCAGAGAAAGACCGTCCAATAAAAAAACAAGCAGTGAACTCCAACACAATGTGTTGATAAGGCGCGTCATTAACTCAAACCTATCAACCCCTTAGTTTTCACTTACAGAAATTTGAAAATAGGCAAACAGCACAACAAGAGAATCCACGATCCAACACTGCGAGGTCAACGACGCACATTTGACGAGACCGTGTATTGTGAATGTAGAAAGGCATTCGAACGAGTTTAAGTTTTTTGATCTGCCTCAAGCAAAATCTTATCAGATTCTTGAAGAAAAGTGCTATGGAATAATTAAGCGAAGAAAGGAAAAATTCTGTCGAGCTCCTGAAAGATAAAGACGATTGAAAGGTATTTTGGGGCTAAAATGCCTAAATCATCGGTAGTATAAATCCCCTTTTATTATTGAAAAGAAATTGACTCGATATAAATGCAATTGCATTAAATATGTCTTGATTTGGTCGTTTTAAACGTCTTTCCATGCAAAGAAGTTCAACCATGTCCATGCTTTATTCATTCATGAATAGAAAGTCAGCAATCTACACCCCAAGAATCTACCGATTTTCCGTAAAAAATTGCAGAAACTCGATATACCTGGTCGATGTACCCACTCGTTGAATTTACCAATCAATTTCGTGAGTGCACTTATGTTTAAAAGTCTATTTGCTATAGTCATTTTGGGTGCATTTATTTTTCTTGAAACAATAATAAGTAATTTCAATAACGAAAAACCATCAATTTTCAGTATAAAATCGAAAAAGCGAAATATGTCGACTCCCTGACGTGAAAACTAGATTTTACGTGTGAAAATACTTATGTTTCAATATGCTGAACAGAAACTATGTGTGGACACAGTCAGAAGTCCGCGGAAACATCAATTCTACAGAAAAACAGTAAAAATTAGATCAGATTTTAGCCGCTTTGCCCGCCTCTCCTCGTTATTTACAAACCGTTCCTACACTCATCTCAAAATTTTTCTCAGAGCTTTGTGTTATTATCATCTTCCATTTAAATCCCGGTTCGATGGCCGAATCGGCTGCCCAAAAGCAAGCCATTTTTGAAGAGTTCTATGAGAAATTCGTGATATTATCGGCTCTCAGGAAATCACCCCATGGGTAATATTGCTGGTATAAATGTTTTGAGTGCTAAAAATAATCGTATTCAAGAAACTAAGGCATTGAACTATGGAGTCAATTTCGTTTTAATGATAATATAACGGGACTACCGGTGATTTAGCTATTACAGCCCTAGAATACTTTTAAAGCGCCTTTATCTTCCAAAATCTCGACGGATTTTTTTTTCTTTTTGGTTTAAACGACTCAAGATACACTGTAGTTAAAAAGTGTAAAGAATTTTCGATTTGGACACATAAAAAATGTCTAACACGTCCAGGCACACCGTGTATTGTATGGAGTACTGCTTCTATTCGATCTTTCTCTTCAAGTCAAAATTCTTACAAGGAAGCTCCTCGCAAGAGACGAATTTTTTGTAAGTTCCCCCAATTTTTTCTCCGTTACATAATTGAATTGCTTGTCAAATATTGTATATCAATTATATTTAATTGTAATTTATGCATTTCTTTTTTTCCCTTCATTTTATTTTTTGTATCGAGAAGTCGAGGTTTTGTTGTTTTCTTCGGATTTCGATTACTGTAACTTCTCTTCTATTCGGCCGATTTTTATGAATGAGGCCTCTTTTTATTCGTGTTTTAACGGAGAGTAAGGAAAAAATTGCTAAATACACGCGAAACAATTTTTTTTGAAAATTGGATGAATCCTAGCGTGACGGTGAAAGGGTTAACTAAGCGTGAGTAATCGGGCGAGGGTCTCGGCCGCGCTGGGACCCAGGTCCATTGTTACCCGACGAGTGCCGATGAGATGCCGACGCAGTGATCAAGCGCGTGGGGAGGAGTGGGGCAAGTGGATTCCTGTATGAGCCATGTTTAGCAAATGGTCTAATGAGTCTCGAGGCTCATCACAGATGGCTGCTCGGGCTATCAGAGCAGTGGTACCAAATTTTGAAAATCAAACAGGGGTGTATAGATCTGTCAAAGCAACGTTATGAACGAAACGGAGGAGTAAAATTCTCATTCCTAGAGTGCTGGCCTGCTCAGCAATCCTCGAATCAGTTCGTTTGATTCTGCTTTTATATGCATATTTTAAATCAGCGCTGACCACTCTTAGGTTTTTTTAGAAAAAACCAAGTAACGTAGACTCTTGGTATTCATTGCACATAAACTAGAAAGCCTCAGAATGAGAAATACATTAGAATCATAATTATTGACGGAGTAGTAAACTTTTTACACGCTTTGGAAGATCACAGAGGTTCGCGGTAGTCACTTTTCGGTAAGGAACTAAGGGACTTGGTTATTGTATCGAGTGGGGGGTCGAAACGATCGCAAAGGCGGTATACTACGTATACGCGCCAAAAGGAAATAGCGGATCGCAATCAGCGCCGCTGAGTGGCGCTGATTGCGATTTTCCAGTCGGAAAAGCTCCGCGAGTCCTTCGCTTAGAGCTGTCCGCTTATAACGTTCTAGAGAACGAGTCAAAAAGTGGTCAGAAAAGCTCGTTTTTGACCAGATTTTGACTGTTTCTCGGCTTCGGGAGTCTCACCGAGGGTCGGAGCTGTGCGGAATCGATTATAGGCCTCCAACTACGTAGGATCCGACTGTAATCTCGAAATTTTTTTCTCAGTCCAAAATCGAGAAAAATTGACATGGGTTCCATGGACTAAATTTTTCGGGCCAAATCGAAAGTTCGCCCATCGGGCCAAAACCAAGTAAGCTCGCTTGGAATTGACCCGCGGAGTGGGATTTTCTAGTCGGTTCCAGAGGGGGACGGAAAAAGCTATTTTTGCATCAAGCTCTTTTAGTCCATGAAACCCCAGTCGATTTTTCCCGATTCATTCCGATGAAAGAAAATAATCCGAGATTAGTATCAAATCCCATGTAGGTAATTGGAGGCGTAGAATCGATTCCGCGTGGTCCCGAGGCTCGCCGGAGCTTCCTGAACCGAGAAACAGTAAAAAACGAGTGTTAATTTCTTGACGTTTCAGGCATGGTCGAATATCCGCGGTTATCCGCGATTGTCAAGTCTGATAGACTCGTGAAGCATTTAGGACCGGAAATTTGGACTCCTCGACTCATTTTATGGGGGAAGAGCTTCATTTCAGCCCGATCTGAGAACTTTCGATTTTGACCCGAAAAGTAAAACCTGCATGGTTACCCGACAAACACAAAAGAGCGACGCCAAAAACGACCGTTTTTTGGCACAATTTGGGCCAGAAGGGATTTTTCTGAAACCGGGCCCAAACGATACCTTATGATACCCTAAAACTCTGGTAAAAATTTGCAGTGCTTCCGCAGGGCCGGATTTATACCCACTTGCCGCCCGTGGGCCGCCCCCTTTTCATTCGTTTTGAAATATCAAGCTCGAACCATCAAGTGAACAAGCCGGAGTAGGAGGGGTGCATAAGACGTGTTTATTCGTCTTGGGCACATTTTTTT